AGTTCATAGACATCTGTATACAGAGGCCTATGTCAAATTCAATATATTTTCTGTTGTTCTTGGGTATTATATTCTGTACTTAGCTCAGTACATCGTCCTACCCCAGTTGGGCTCTGTCGCTTTCCTATCTATGTAGCTCGGCTGGTACGCGCTTTGCTTAGTTCGGTACATCACTCGTTTGCGGCTCGATACGGCTCACATACTGCAATCCGTTTATTTTAGCCCAGTGCAGTGCCCTTATATTTATAAGTCTGCACTCCATTCCGATTTTTAGCGGCTCTGTATCATCTTACCGTGGTCCTCTGAGACTGCATGCGTCCTCGACCAACTCTCGATACAGTTACGGAGCTGCCGGTCCGATGGAGCCTGGCCACCGTGTTTCGTCTGCGCTGCCGTGCAGTGCGGCACTGCAGAGTGCACAGTCTTGGAATGTGACTCAGCGCCGGCCAGGCTCTCGGTGTGTGCCGCTGGTCGCCTCTCCGAGCCCGGCCGTTCGGCCAAAGTCCAGCGGCGATGGCCGCCGAGACGCCGACCAGGCCCCCGTGCCGAGGCGCAGAGCTGTGTATTCTGACCGGCCAGCCGCTGGCTGGGGTAGTGGGCGCTCACTGCCGGGGCGCTGCTCGGGAGCCCGTTACCCGTGCTATGTGTTTGGGTGACTGGGCTTCGCCTCGCTTCTCATAATCGTTTGAGCAGCAACGCACTCGCATTTTGGAATAATGACTAGTGTTTAGCTATTCAATTAATGAGGTCAATCTCAGGTAAAATTAATTAAAACGCTGTGTTGTGGGCTGCTTCCTCGACCAGCCATGGGCCAAATGCCGGGCTATAAGCTGTCCCACAGATGCTGTCATTTGTTTGGTTCTCGCGTGTCACTCGCCAGAGCTGCGTTCTGTTACATCAGCCGGATCGAAATGAAGCCTCGGCGACCGGTCGGACACGGGGGCGGGGTGCATCAGGCGGCTCTGCTGGATACCTATACTGAGCCGGGGGCTCTGGTTTTGTTTCGTGCTGGTGACCGAATGGAGACTTAGCCAGAACCGAAGAACTTCACGTGCGAAACCGTCGCGTCATGGATTGTTTTCGATGTTTTATCAGCTAAATCCGGGTTTGGAAGCATTAGATCTGCGCTGTTTTATGATTCCCGCGTAGACCTCAGAAATGAAGATGTGAAGTACAATGTCACGGTCAGAGCTGGTCGGTCAGTGTCCCCACTGCTAGTGAGTGCCCTGTTTAGCGCTGGTCAGTGTCCCCTCCAGCGCTGGTCAGTGTCCCCTCCAGCGCTGGTCGGTGTCCCCTCCAGAGCGCTGGTCAGCCAGCATCCAGCGGTCTTGGCTGTGACTGGCAGTTTATACTGGCGGAGGGCGGTACTGCCGACTGTCTCTGCACTCTGTCCATCATCGTATACGACGGCTCCAGGGCCCGGATTGAGACACATAGGGCCCGACTGATGGGTGGATTCCTTCGGAGCAGTCACGAAACACGCATCCTTTAGCTTTATATGGTACAACGTTTCTTTGAGCATGATTGTAATCAATAAAAATGGTATAATTGACCTTATGCTCATAATAACGGATAAATTAATTGAAAAAAGTCCAGAATATATTTTCGAACTTGGTTCTTCTTCCGTGAAATAAAAAAAAAATGATTCCACCGAAGAAGAACCAAGTTCGAAAATATATTCTGGACCTTTTTTCAATTAATTTATCCGATATTATGAGCATAAGGTCAATTATACCATTTTTATTGATCGCATCCTTTAAGTTAACCCTATTAGTGGCAGGCTCCTGGCTACCCCTATTAGTGGCAGGGGGGCTGTTTACGCCCCCCCCCTTGATATCTCGAGATCTAACGGGCCGATTTTCAAAATTCAAACGGCATTCGATTTCGCTCAACGTGATCTACATTTCTAGAAAATAAAAATTAAGAAAATGTCAATAGGGGGTAGAGGGGATGTAAAAACGGGCAAATTGCAGATACATTTTAGACTGTTTATCACGGCCAGGTTTCTGAACCAATCTTAACGCAACTTTTGTCGATCGATAGAGAATGAACCAGGAATTCACATGGATCCTAAAAATATGCATTTTCAAAAATCATAGGCGGATACAGATCATTGAGATTGGGGGTACACAAAAAGTATAGTAAATAAGGTTTTTATAGGTGCTGTTTCTAAAAAGGGCGGTAATGGTCTTGTTATGTTACAATTTTCTTATGAGAGAACGACTACAATTGTATTGGTCATGCATAGGCGGTGTCAGGGCACCTATGTTGGGAGGTAAAACATAACCCTCCTTTTTGGACGCCTGGATCCGCCTATTGTAGCAAAAACGTGTCAAAAGAGGATGCACAATAACTTTGTATATGATATCACATGATACCTTTCATTCACTGTTCGTAAAACTGGTGCATACAGTTATAATACATCAGCATCGTGATGCTCGCCCAAATGACTCGCTTCACGAATAGGACCCCCCAATTCCCAGTGCTCTGGAGCCGCCCCTGGTAAAGTTATGAACTTGAAATTTTCAGGGAATGTGCCCAATTTAGTTTTAGGGAAAGTCAGAAAATTTCACCATCGTAGCTTCGGCGGTTTCGGAGATATTCCCGAAAAAACCTGAGGGGTGGATGAAAACACCCCCCCCCCCTGCCACTAATAGCCGTCACCCTTGCGGTCCGTACTGAACACATCAATCTTCTTTCGGAAGTGTTGTAGGCAGCATTGATATCCTAACGATATAGATTGAAACAGACAATTAATTGATGATTATATATGTAATATTAACCCGCGCGGGGCTGGGGTCTCCAGCCGAACGCGCGGGGCTGGGGGGGGGGGTAAATTTTACCCCCCCCCCTGTTATCTCCCGAACTAATGGTCCGATTTGGAAAATTCAAACGGCAATCGAAAGATCTCATCACGAACAACTAAAAACATGTACTTAATTTTAAGTTTGAGGTCAAGGTCAAGGTCAGGTCAAGGGTACAAATTGCAAGTTCCTACAGTATCGGCCTTGCACCGTAGTTGCCGAAGAATGGAGTCATGGACTGAGACTGATCGCCCAAAACGTGTTCTTAGGCTACCAAGACAATATTCGTTGCATAAAATATCATTCAGAGGTCAAGGTCAAGGTCAGGTCAGGTCATGTCAGGTCACCAAAAACAAAATATAGAAAAGGGCATGTGCGACACATGTTTTATGGGTCATTTTACTCATAGAATTCAATAGGCACACTCAATAAGTGATATGGACCACCTCTGGATGAATTTCAGGCCAAGGTCAGGTGAAGGTCAGGTCAAGTGAGGTCAAATTGTGAAGTTGGTTGTTAAGGCCTAAAAAGGTGTCTATCTGATGCAGTTTTTCACGGCGAATCGAATGGTGCTATTTTTGTTTCCGTACGAGGTCTAGAACTTCCAAAAAAGTCATTTTTCAAAAATTTTGTGTGTCGTGACGTCATACAATTTTGAATAACTCCCACATTTTTGAACCGATTCTTCTAAAACTTGGTATGTAGGTGCACATAGACCACTTCTCTGACATATAGGTATTCCGGTTTTTTCGATACACTCAAAATTTTGGATTTTATAGTTATTTTTCCAAAAAAGTCAGTTTTTTGAAAAAATTTGGGCCAAAATCCAAAATTTTCAAAAAACCGAGATAGCCATTTGATAGACAAAATAACATTACGTATATCCTTTTTTGTTACGTCCCGACGACTTTAAAAATGAAGATGTTAGCGGCGTTTGAACTTTTGCCGTTTTTGAGGCGAAAATGGCGAACATGACGTCACTAAAACGTCAATTTCTCAAAAAATTTCCGACGGATTTCGCTCAAATTTTCAGAGAACGTGTCAAACTGATGTAAGAAAAGGTACTGAAAGTTTGGCGGCGCTGCGCGCCGCCGTTTTTGAGATATTGCAAATATTCGCGAGGGGGGGGGGTAAAATTTACCCCCCCCCCAGCCCCGCGCGGGTTAAATATAGGAATGTTTGATTATATGACATGAAAGTTTCTAATAAACAACCTCTTAGATGATCCTTCGGTGGGTGCTTGGCCCCTTTTGCAAGAAATGTCGCTGTACTTCAATGCTTTGTGCGTCATTTGTGGGTCCAATTGCACTAGAACGTCAAACAACTTATCTTTAAAGTTACAGACCCGCGGATTATTAGACGCTCGTTCGGTCCAAAGTTAGGTCTTCGATCGAAGTTCAGAGGACAGTTTAACTTAACCGCCACGCTTGTCGAAATATCGCAGTATGCAAAAATGGAATTTTGATCGTGTTGCGTTTGCTTAGGTATTAAATGCCCCCATCTGGTTCCTTATTTTTCTTTCTCAAGAATATTAAACCATCTTTTTAATCTTCGACATGTCTGCTAATGCATCGCAAAATTGATTTATTTGCGCTACCTCAAGATAAACGTGCACACCATGCCTACCTACCAGTCATTGGCCGAAGGACCGATCAGCTCGTGTGAGAGGGTGGGGGCAACGAGTCTAATGGCCTCTAACAAACGATGTCGTTTTGCTGGCTCATAGGTGCCATAGTCTAACGGTAATGACCTGAGCAATGAGCGTTATCGACTCAGACCATTACAGGTAGACGGCATGAATGGCGGGTCGGAGCGTGACACGGTTTAATTGACTGGCCACGTTTGTGTTCGAGTAACACGCAAACGCGATGCGCCCCGTGTAAATCGATTTGACGCTGTGTAGGCTGGGCCGGGCCGTTCCAGCTGGCCGCGTCTACGTTGCGTCCCGGTCATTTGTTTACGACTTAGTAGAACAAATGTTCAGCGTGGATGCTGTCCCGCCATTGATAATCAGATGAATACTTTTTGTGAGGCCATACGACTTCAAATATAATGCTTTCTGAAGTAGCATTTGATCTGCAAGCATCAACGAGTTTCTCACACTCACTTTGACCTCCCTGACCACGTTCTCGCACCTGACCCGACCCGACCCTACCTGACCTGACCTGATCTCCACCTCCCTCTCTGTGTTTACAGGTGTTGAACCGCTCGATGGACCCGCGCACGTACGAACAGCAGCCGCCTCTGATCGCGCAGGTTCCGCAGCCGTTCCCCGTGATACCGCAGCAAATCATCACGTCCGGGTCGCGCAAGGACTGCATCCGCCTGCGGGGACTGCCATTCGAGGCGCAGGTGGAGCACATCCTGCAGTTCCTCGGCGATCTGGCGCACATGATCAAAGTGCAGGGCGTTCATATGGTGATCAATGCGCAGGTAAGGAGGGAAAAGAGGGGTGGGAGGAGAGAGGAGAGGAGGGTACTGGAGAGCGTTCGTTATAATGATCTTTTAGAAGGCCTAGGATGAATTTTAGAACTTAAACGCTTACATTTTATCGCTAACATGTTATTTGCCGAACGAACGTCACAGACCGGGCTAAATGCTTGGGTTACGTCTTCCTTTGTCAACTTATTCGTTCAAAACGTTTGGATTAAAAATGGATAGCTTGCATTATTCATTTGACCCAATAGGACGAGGAAGCTTCAAACTATCAACCGTCAAAAGCATCGATGTGTGAATTCGGATTTCGATACCAAAATGCCTATTCGAATGTGAAGACTGAAGACGCCTCTCGTGTAACGAGCGGTAGCTGAACCCCGTCTGCCCTGCCGCGGCCCTGACGTTCCCGTCCCCGTGCGTGTGCGTGTTGTGTGCGTGTGTGCCGCAGGGTCAGCCGTCGGGTGAGGCGTTCATTCAGATGGTCTCCGAGGAGGCGGCGTTCCTGGCCTCCAAGGACCGCCACCACCGCTACATGCCGTTTGGCAAGAAGCAGCGCTACATCGAGGTGTTTCAGTGCTCCGGCGATGATATGAACCTGGTGCTGAGCGGCTCCGTGTCCGCGGCTGCGCAGCAGGCCCTGGTCGTATCTCCCGGTATGTTGCCCGCCACCTCGTGGGACCCCTCTGGCCAGGCCGCCGCGGCCGCCGCCGCTGCCGCCGCCGCCGCGCTCCGACGCAAACCGATGCCCCAGACGCCCTCCCTCCTGTCGCCCCAGAGTCCGATCAAGTCGATGCCGCCGCCGCCGCCGACCGTCACCTCCCTCTCCTCCCCGATGGTGCAGACCCTGGGCGGCGCCGTGCCGTTCAGTTACATGGCCGCGCTGCAGCAGCAGCAACAGCAACAGCAGCAGCAGCAGCAGCAGCAGCAGCTGATGCTGCTGCAGCGCTCCGGGCTGGCCACCCAGCAGATGCTGCAGATGCCGGTGTCGGCGGCATCCGCCATGCTGCCTGGCATGGTGGACCTGCAGAGCCTGGCCAAGACGGCGCCGCCGCAGGCACAGCCTCAGATGCAGCCACTGTCCGTACAGCAGGGCCTGATGCAGTTCCCGTACGGAGTCAAACGCTCCTGGGAGCAGGCGTTCCCGGTGTCGGCGGCAGACGCCAGCGGCGCCGTGAAGCGCGCCTGGCAGTCGGGCTCGCTGCCGCTGATGAGCATGGCTGGCTCCTCGAGCAGTGCGGCGGCGGCCGCCGCGGCCGCGGCCGCCTTGCCCGCCTCCTACTCCGCCTCCCACCACCTGTACCCGGCGCTCTAGACAACGAACAACCTGACATGGGCAGTCCTCTGCTCAACATTCCGCTACGCTAGTGACTGACTGTTATGTGTTGATGAGACTCCCGATCTGTCTTTTATTCGGTCTCTCAGCTGTAGATAGACATAAATATCGTGACTTGTGAACCGTTTTAGCTGTTATCAGCGTGACAATAATTTTAGCGACTTCCTTTGTCCGTCCCAGTGAGACGGAAAAAGACAGAGGCCCATCAAGTCCTTCCTCGTGATTCTGCCGGACTCTCGGCGGCTTGAGGGTGTAGGCTCCCGTGACGGCCCGATGACACTGACCTTGACCCGTAGTGACCTGGACGGGCGGGCGGGCGGGGCGCGGCCGGCTCTGTGCATGTGTCCGGGGGAGGCTTGGGGGGCCGGCGTGAGGTTGTTGGCCGTTCCAGGCAGCGGGACGACCGACTAACGTTTAGGGCGCATGCGTTTGCGTGGTGTGTACATAATGTTCTCTCTCCTCTCCATAGTCGGGATGTGCTGACGGACAGACAGCAATGACAAACGGCTCTCAGACACTGTGGCCCGGTTATCCAAGCAGCAATAGTGAACAAACATTCCCTCACACGGAGACACCTGCTCTCCGGTTGATGATGTACCGGTATCAGACTTGCGCTGCATGTCCCGGCCCAGTTTCGGCGAGAGTTGGTCGTTGGTCGTTGCTGGAAGTCCCAGTTCCGGTTGGCAGTGGTCGCGCGACACGGGATCTGGACGGGCCACGAAGGTGCCTAGCTTGTTCACGATAGCGCCGCCAGCCGGCCGGCCGGGGTCACGGGATTCACGGCGCATCTCCTTCCGCTATTAACTGGCCGGGCGGCCGCGCGCCGGACGCGCCGGCGCCCGCTGCCTGCCGCGGGTCGGGGCGGCCAATGCACGGCCGGGGGCGTCTCGTCGGAGCGCGTGTATGCTTCACGGTAGCTTTGTTGTAGCGCCGTAGTGGCCCTGCGGCACCTCCACGGCGTTGTTCCCCGATCCTGCTGCCCCAGACTCCAGTGCCGTTCCGTGACCTGCCGGTCCCGCCGGCCTGCAACGTGCCTCGGGCCGAACCAAGTCTTCCCGCTGAGAATCTCGTCGGGTTAGTGGCGGCCGTTGAGACATTCCCAGATATTTTGCATGACCGTTGTTGTCCTAGTGTATCGTGAGGCCGCGTCTCGACGAGATCCTGGCTGTTTCTCTCCCAAGTGCCTCCCTCATCCCGCGTCCGCCGCCAACGCACTGGAGATGTTGGGCCCGGTTGACCTACATGTATGATGCAGACGCACTAAAATAAACACATGCTGTCTCCACAGTGGTTGGTCTCTTCCGGCTGGGCTACGTTGAGTTACTTGCCTACCTACCTACCTACCTTTCTGTCACCCTAGCGGGCAAACTAAACAGTTGTTGGCCTATTGGGTGTGCGTGCGTGTCTGTCGGACGGGCTCAGTTGTAAGCGTGGCGAATTTGGTGGTGCGAGGGAGCGGCGGCAAAGTGCAGGTATGTTGGGCTTATGTCCTGGTTCCGGGGGCCTTCACCGGTGGCGGCGCCTCTCTGTCGCTCATCTGGCTCTCTCCCCTCACTCTCTCCGGCTGCTCTGCTCTCTGGGCTGTCCACTCTGTCCACTCTGCAGGCTGTCTCTCCTCTGTGGTGGTGCGTCTGTCTCGTGCTGTCGGTGTGGTCGGTGGCGGCCTGTCCCGTCTCGGCGCTGGGCTCTCTGCATGAACGGACAGCCGTGGCCAGGGCTAACTGCGGAAGCGGACCCAGCCACTTTTGTCCACAACTCGGTGTTGGTTTGCACGATGGTGTGGGATCGCATGCCCTGCTTTAACAATGGTATGCTGGTTGCAGCGGGTTGGGTAGATAGGCTTAGAGTAGATTAAAAACATTTGTAGATATTAAATACATGCGCTGTGTTAGTGGCACCAGAAGTGAGCTAGAAATTATATCAATTGTGTGATCTCTTCCCATTGTCGGAGGACATATAATCAAGTGTAGAATACGTTGACCTCTTCATCGAACCTCTTTCAGCTTTGTATCTGGGCCCTTGAGCGTATGACGCTGTGACATTGACGTCACGGATGCCTGACGCGTGACATTACGGCCACTTCTGGTGTCACTGTTCACTGCCGCTGGCGAGCGTCACGAGCTGGTCATTCGTCACATTTGTGAGAGGCGCCGCCTGCCGACCCCTCCGGTCACGGCGCACCGAGCTCCGCCTCACGGGCTCCAGCATTTCCATCAGTTCGTCTCTGTCTGTGTGCCCGCCGTGAGCCGCGGCTGCCGGTCTCCGTCCGCCGGCGGCGCCCGACCCCGACTGACCTCTGTGTGCCCTCAGGCGGCGGGATGCTGACGCCACCCTACGGCCTGTACACGTACGCGGCGCCGCCGGCGCTGCTACCGCCCGTGGCGCCGCTCACGCCGCGGGTACCGGCCTACTCGTACCCGCCGAGCCTGTACTACTGGCAGGCGTACCCGTCGCCGCCTGTCTCACCGACCTCCTACTACAACGGGCTGACCCCTCCGGTAACCACTGGGCCGTCACCAGCCCTGGTGAGGATGCGAGGCCTGCCATACTCCTCCAGCAAAGTTGACATACTCAAATTCTTCGAAGGCTTTGAGGTTAGGGGTCTTTCTGGTTATGGGTTTTCTTTTAACTGTGCCGCCGTCGCCGCGCGGGGATGCAGACCGACCGATGTGTTGCCTTTGTCTCAGTCTGGTGAGTGTTCTCACCTCGAGTATTTGGACGTCGGCTGAGGTCCGGTCCCTGGCCCGCGGCGATGGCGGCAATGGGACGGACGCGCGGTCCCCGGACCGCCCGTCCGCCCGTAACACGGCATGGTGGCATGGCGCCGCTGACGCCGGATGACGTCTGGCGTCATCCAGCGTCACTGGCGCGGTCACGGTCGGTGGCGGTCCGCAAGTCGGAGGTCCCATGGTCTTATACTCATACTTGTACTTATGCCTACTTAGAGCGCTGTATCTTGGTGGTTCTAAGTTCTAACTCCCTCGATTGGGTTGTGGTCGACTTGTTTAACCCCTTACCCACCCCGATCGGACCGCCGTCTCTGGCCAAATATGCCAGGACCGTGGCCGCGCCAGCGGCCATTCTGTGTCCCGCCTTCACGGAGGTAGCCCAAATAATGTTGGCAGCAACCGTCTGTCGCATATGCACTGCAAGGAACAGTTTTTTTTTTTCGGCCAATTAGCATGTGCCAGCTTTTTATGCTGCTGTATCTCGTTCTTGTTCACAATATCGATGTTAAAGTTTCATTCATTTTTTCAGCTTACTTTTTTGCATACATTTCTTGTTATCTTTCGGCTACCTCCCTGAGGGTGGTTGTGATGGTGTTGGAACGCGATAAACGTGCCTGCTTACTGTATGTTTACTTTAACTTTGGCTAAAGCCGTGTTGCATTGATAATTCATATTTCGCATAACGTGCATCCAGCTTTGGCACTGTTCATGTGCGATATAGTATAGTCAATTAGGCAAATTTGGCATGATCAAACGCATGCAGGCAATAGGCATGATCAGTCATTTCGGTGTCGGATACATCCTAGCTGCCCTCGCCTGGCAGTGGTCGGTTATACCATTCTGTGACATCAACTGTGCTGCATATAAATGAACTAACCAACTGTGGTGGCGGACGGCGGTGATGGCGGACATTATTCACAGTATTATATTTTGGGATTGTATAGATTTAGGCTCTGTGTTTCAATGAGAATTGACCGTAAAAATGGGAAGCGCATATTTTATATTTGATTGGAACATATTTGTACTTCAGTAGAAGAAGCAGAATGGGTGTCATGATTTTTCACTATTAACCCTCGCCGGCACAGGCCATTTTGCGTCCTTCGACGGCACAAGGGGGGGGGGGGGTTGGTACGACCCGCCCCCCTCGCGTTTGGCCCCTGATCGAGCTAGAGCTTCGCGGAAAAAACGAGCGTGTTGCCCGTCACGAGAGGAAGCCGATGATACCCAATTTTAAGGTCCTAGGTCATCGGGTGACCTTCCAGGTCAGGTCAATGACCCGAAAACCGGGAAAATCGGGACCTGTTAGAAAGTCGTAAAGTGTGGCTGCTAAGTGGTTTTCCGGGGTGCTGATCACGAATATCGTGTTATAATAGTTTTGATCAGAGATGATGTCTGTAAGCATTTAGACCAGGTCGGGTCAGGTCAGGTCAGGTCAACCGGTAGGGGTTGTGACGGGTATTCGTAATACGTGTCAACCGCCTCTGACAGCTTCGTAACATGTTACGAAGGCACCAAAACTACTTCGTAAATGTTCAAATGGTTGCTAAATTCGAATTCAGCTCCAAAAACTAGCCTAGAAACATGCAAAACTCGAAAAAGCGAACCGAGGTCACCCGAGGTCACCAAAGGTCAATGACCTGACCTTACCTTCGGGTGACCTTGACACCCACCCTAATGTATGAGAGCAACATCAAATCGCATGTTTGAACGTTTGAAATCACGAAAAGCTAGCAAACGCGCGACTAATGCGAGCCGACATACGCGGAATCGCGATTCCGGCCAAACATGGTCTCGGAAAAGAGGTCACAGGTCAAAGGTCATTTGGGTCAGGGTCGTGAAATTTTCAGGGTAGGTGTAAAATTGATCAATGCGAGGGTACCTAAAGTTTCGTTGCAATCGGCCGCTTTTTACGCGAGTTATTTGCGAAAAACCTTAGGGGGGTTGCATCAACCCCCCCTCCCTGTGCCGGCGAGGGTTAATATGCCTAAATCGGTCACAATAGGCATGTACCTATGCAGTTACCTTACCTACCCAGTCGTATGAAGTGCTAGCACCGAAAGCGTTGGCCCGTAACATTTTCAACAGATATGTTATCGCCTCGGCTTGTATATGTCGGTGACGTTTAACGTTCAGAACGTTCAGAGTGGTTTGACATTGCAAGCACTGGTATTGAATTTATATGAAAGGTTTAATTTTAATTCAAGAATGCGATCATCTATCTATTTTGAAAAGGTTTAACAAAGCGTCCCTCGGAATTTTCCTGTACCACGCACTGTGCATAAGAAGTTATTGTGTCCAAAACACTCACGTAATGTCGTTTCCTACGAGCACGGAGGGGGATGAAACAAATAAAAGGTATATGATAGGCACAGTATAGGTGTATTATAGGTCCATGTACGTAAGTGATGCAAATACAGATATACGTACTCTACGTTATAATACCCTTTTCGGCGCATGGTTGCCACTTGCTTCACTAAAATTATTAACATTGCGATGCAACTTAATATGCATGTTAATGGCATACCAACCGCCTATTATAGGTAGTCATCGTCAATCTCGGTGATACAATGCACATGCACCTACACATTGCATTGGCTAGCTTTATGAGATGCCAAGGCATTTTTGGCCGAGTACCTACTTTAATAGATGTCTTTATTAATTGTTCCCATTGCAATAACAAACACAAAAAAGATAGTCGTCATTTCAAGCACTTCGCCGAAACAGAAAGCATTTGGCAATTTATATTTTTACGAAAAAAGCGTCATAGGACAGTTTATCCGATTCAACTGTGCATCCGTCACATACCTAATCTATCCGCTCTAACCGATCCGTTTCGTATCTATCACTCAAACTGAGCAATTAACCAGCTCCAGCCTGCGCCAGTCGTCCTCTGATCCTGTGTGTGGCGACCCGGCACCGAGCCCAGCAACCCATCCGAGACCGGAAGCGCCGCCGGTAAGTACCTACCTATTGATGTCTCGCCCAACGGTCCTGTCGGCCGCCCGATCCGAGCGGAACACCATCTCAGGTGTCCGGCTGAGGCTCTATACTCCGACCAAGGTCAATGAGATAAACGGGGTCATCGTGAGGGTTAAGCAGATCGATTGAAATGGACTAAAAGTCGGAAATGTAATATCGAAGTCCTAAGTCCGTTTTACCTGATACATTCCTCGGCTATCCTGCCAACGCACCTAAATCCAAATCCGTTTCGGATGCACAGCAAAATCAAACCATTTATAAATTGTTCAGACTGTTCAAAACTTTCTAAGATAATATCGCTGGCGAGGCTATCCCGGTCTGTTCGTTTCCTGACTGAACCCATCTGTTCGCAGATTGCTCCGGAATGCATCCAGCTTCAGCAGAACGCAGAGGGGCAGCCATCCGGTGAGGCTATGGTTTCCTTTGCGTCTCGCACTGAGGCAGAACGCGCCATCCTCGAGAAGAACAAGCAGCACATAGGCACGCGCTATATTGAGCTCTTCATGGCGTCCTAGACGTTGCGTCGCCCCTGCGGTATGCTGGCCGGCGCTAAGCAGCGTCCACTCGCTCATTGGCGGACTCGGGCCAGGCCGCGCGGTGATTGGCGGGCGGCCGGTGACCTCTACCAGGGCGAGGTCTCCGATTGGCTGACGCGTGACAGCCTGCGCCGCGATTGGCTGAAGGCCGACGGGCGCCCTGAGAATGCGGGGGCCGTTTGTGCAATGCCTACCGGCGAGAGTCCAGTGCGAAAGAGAGAAAGAAAGGAAACGAGAGCGGCAGAAGAGCGATTGTGTGACGCGCTTTGTCACGTGCGCGCCCAGATGCATTTTTGAGCAGTCTGGGGCGCGCTGACAGGCGCAGAGTTTTGTATTTTATTTCAACTGCAGTAATTTGCCACTGTCTTCCCATGAGCTTCCAGCCGCCGCCGGCGCAGTGGCCGGGTCTGGAAGGTGCGGAGCGGCAGCGCTGCCACCCCGCAGCCACCCATCCCGCAGACCGTCCCGGCCCTGCCGCCGGCGAGCGCACAGCAGGTCGATCCGCACCAGCAGCCAGACAGTCCTCTGTTATATACATAGCCGTTTAGCTAGTTCGTTAACTGTACGGATGTTTATGTCAACATTATCACAGAGTCTTCCCTGCGTGCGTCGGGACCGGCTGGAGTCACGCGTAGTGCGTCGTGCTCCGTCCGGCCCGGCAACCTGTACATAGTTTGTTTTAGCCAAGAATTGCGTTCTTGCACAATCATGCATTCGACGTGCCTTATTTGCATTTAGCTGAATGTGTTTTATGTAGTGAGTGATTAGTTAAGGTGCAGCACTGCGCTCCAGCGCAGTTGCTCTGAATCTGAATACTGTCGCCATTCCACGTGTAAATTCCGTGCGCGAGCCCTATTGCCCAGTCTAAAGTGGCAGAGCATATGCAAGGCAGGGGTGAGAAGGATTTTGAAAGAAAGGTAGCACGGGATTTTGACCCAGAAAGGTATTTTTGACAAATTTCAGCATTCCTAAGCGGCTCCATTTCGAACCAAACATTCCAAATGCATTTCTAATTGATCAGTGGCGGTCATTTTGTCACAATGGGCAGCTCCACCTATGCTGGAACCTCGGTTCTCGCTCTGTGCCGTGCCCCCGGCTGGAGTTTTTCAAGTGACCCGTTTTACGCCTAGTCTGTTTGAGTTTTGTGATATGGTAACATGACCAGGTGCGAACGCCCCTGCACGGCCCCGACTCGTCTGGAACGGAGTTAGCCCCCCGGCGGCTCTCCGGCGTGTGCGCCTCGAGGCGGCTCTGAAAGGCTGGCCGGCCCGCGGCGGAGCGCGGCTCAAGTTTTATCGGTGAGCCTTGGTGACGGTGGCACCCTCCCCGGCGGGACGAGCGCCGAGCGACCCCGGCTCCGTCCTCAGGTGACCTCTGTCAGACTGCGGCGGAGAGAGTGTCCGACTGTCTGTCTGTCCGGGCTGTCGGGCAGATGTCTGGTTCAGGCGGTTCTGTCCTGTCGGTTTGCCGGACAGTGCAGTCGGACAGTTCTGTCCCCAGCTGCGCTGAGGAGGTCGCCTTGTCAGACGACTGCCCTCCCGGGGCAGTCTGTGCCGTGGAGTGGTGCCGCCGTGTCTTGTCAAACCACACCGCCACATAGCCCATGACAATGTACAAGGGAGGGGCACTGCCACTCGGAGCTAGGGCAGCATCATCTCATTGTTGCTCATAATATCTCGGGCCCACGGTGTCAGGACCTGGCCCTCGACCTGACCTGACCTGACCCACCAGGGTTCAGACCCAGCCGCTTGTCTGTGATACACCGTAGTTGACATTCGGAGTGAGAAAGAGAAACATCTGGGTGTGGGATATCGGGCTATTTTCGGCATGCGGTGGAGGTGAGGGACGGAAATATCGGGCGTGATTTCAAGTAACACCAAACGCGGAGGGTTCCGTCGTATGGCGCAGCGTGAGAGCGGCGCTCTTTTCATTCTAAGCATAATATGATAATCCCGGCGGGACGGCGGCTCTTCTTCGGTAATCCAACTTGCTATGGTCACCTTGGCGCTTGATTGTAAATCTCGAGTGGTGTTAGGTTAGTTTGCTTGCTTTGCTCGCTTCCGGTTGGTTGCTATTGCACGTCGTCTCTGAGGCGGCCGCTCCCGCGGCGGCGCCCTGGTGTCGGGCTCGGCTGTGGCGCTCGCCGCCCCCTCAGGTGACACCGGTCTTTGGGGTGATCCAGTCAGCTACGGGGCAAAATCTGGCGCGGCGGGGCCGACGCACAGGGTGCCGCTGGCGGGTCGGCCGCCCCTGTGACGTCAGCACTGCCATCTGGTGGCCATTTAATGAAGCTCTGAGTGGGGCGCGCTCCGCCGGCGCCGGTGGCGCTGCGCTCGACCGCCCGCCCTGACCGACGGACGTCGGCCCGGCGCCGGCGGAGTGGCCCGGCCGGAGCGACGGAGACGGGTCGCGCCCGGGTCATTCTGCCCAGTCGGCCAGAGGACGACCCGCGCCGCGGCGCGTCCCCGTCTGCTTGTGTTGTGGTGAATTTTATCTTTTAAGGGAGAAAAACAGAAAAAAATCACTCCGCAATGTCAGGCGCGTATGATTTTCAGTGTATATGTAAAAGCGTCGTGTGTTTATTTTATGTTCTTAGTGCATTCATATCAATAGTTTAATGTGTGTGCGTGTGTGTGTTATATTGCTCGCGCTCTGTGAACAGCTCTGTGCACATCTTTTCCGTGTAAATTTTTGTAGCAACTCGTTGGCCATACATTTAACAAAACACTTCCGACGGCGGTACCTGCTGGGCGAGTCCCAGCCTACCCGAGTTGGATTCGAACAGCCCCGTGACCGCCCCGGCCCCGCTCGCCCTCTGTCGGCCTTATTGTCAGGCGTAGACAGCTGGAAGCTCACCGCTGTGTCGATGGGCGCCGCTCGAGCACGCACGTGGACACGAGCATCTGCTGCCACTCTCGCCTCGTCTCGATGCAGCTGTGCAATTTGATCACAAGTATACTTTATAGAATACATGTGAATAACTACATCCAGCCTGTGCCTGTGTGGAATGTCTATAGGCAGCGGCGCGTTATTTGAACGGTTCCGGCTCGGGCGATTTCCGATCGCTAAATAACTGGGGTCAAGTTAGCGAAAAAAAGTTTGTTATTCGTATACCTGTATTGGTACGTCCATCATAGAAAATTGTATGTACCGTAGGGTGGGGCTATTTGAGACAGTGGGGTTATTTGAGACAGTATTTAAAATTGCTATAAAATAAAAATCACTTAAAATTCATGCTTAATTTTTTGTTTAGGCGATTAACTGCTCGATTCCACACCTCCCCGAGCAAAAATATCACACAAAAATCAAACGATCTTCATTTTATAGCGATTTTAAATACTGTCTCAAATAGCCCCACTGTCTCAAATAGCCCCACTTTACGGTACCTATTTCTGCAGGATCCAGGCACATTATAGTATTAGACTTATGATATATTACCTTACCGGATATACGAGTACATAGCAGAGTAATTCGTATTAGTTACATATAGATTATAATGCTGAGCGAATGGGACAACCCGTTTGTGATATGTACTCTTATTAACTTGCTTATGTATTCGGGGTCATGGACACCACTGCAAAGCTCGTTGCCAAGCTACGAGAAAAATAAGACGAACAGCAAGGGTGAAATATTCACAGTCCAGAGATTCAAAAATCAGAAAGTAGAACATTTTCTACAATGTATTAATAACCGGACGAGAGAAGTGATTGACTTTATATTTGCGATAAGCGACCTTGAAGTTATTGTCGAAATGTCGACACAAACAAAAATGAACAATTGCTTTATCAATACGCTATTGCATGTTGGCAAGTAGTTCATGAATATGTAGGATACCTAAACAATAGTAGATAGATACCTATAGAAACGCTGATAACACTAACGCTAATAGTTACGGTCCATAAATGATAAATCGGACAATAACTTTGCTGGAAAATATAGCGTTCCAACTCCAAGTCAAACAGAAACACTTTGTGCGGTGCAGGACATGCCGAGATAACCATCGACACTTCTTTAGGAATGCCAACCAAAAATGCATAAAATGTAATGCTACCATGGTAATTATAATTAAAATAATGCATAACATAGCATGCCTATAAGATACCTGCATCACGCCGAGCGGGACAGTTTGCAGTCGCCGTCGAGGTCCGTATCAGGAATTGTAATTAGAAATCATAATTCGGTCCATGATAACGCTTAGAAAGTAAGCTGCAGCGCATAAGCGACGTAATGGCATGAATCTAGTCGACCGTTCATCGCCATTTATATAGGGACAAACACGAGAACGTCAACTACTGGGATAACTGCACCACATTCATGCCAATAATCAAACCTATAGGTTTGATATTGACATGATATTGAAATAATCAAACCTATAGGTTTGATTATTTATACCGCCCTGTCGGGATGTTGTTGTTAGTTTTTAAACCTAAAACTTGGGTCATGTAGTATTGTTATCGGACTGGGTTTACCCAGCGAACGACTGGTCTTGAATACTGTATGTTCCATCGTTGAGCTGTAGGGTTATATGTTCATAAAATCGAACGGATGCACCCGGGAATTTCGGTGTCTTCTAGTCGAAGAACCTCTTCCCTCGAACCGCTGGAAAAGATGTCGCAAGTTAAATCCAATCAATAAGCATACCAACATCAATTCCTAGTATATCTAGAATAGTATAGCATATCTAAGTATTAGCTCAGCAGCATTGAGACAAAACAACCCGTTTGCCGGGCACATCTCGTGCTAACAATATTACGGACGTCGTAGCGAAATATTCACACAAAAGACGGTGACAGCATGCACCCGTCCGTTCTCCTAAAATTGTCTCACTTACTGTTGTGAAGCCGCTGCTTGTGCTCCTCCAGCATATTCGGGTCATCAAACTTGGCAGAACACTGGTGGCATCTCAGTGAGCGCTTAGTGCCTGTCAACGAATGTCAGTTGATATCGAAAACAGTAAGATAGAACATCATTATCTATTATAAAACAAAAAATAATAGCGATAATGTAAATAAAGTGAACAAAGAATAAGGAGAAAATAAATGCGTAAAGCGAAAAATAGAGATCATGTAGATGGCGTCCGCTCTGGCATGTCTCTATTAAAAGTTTTTGTCAAAAAAAAAACTGTTGGAAACCTTACATGACCTGAGATGACCTCAGAAGCACATAGAGGGTTCATGGGTGCAATTTTCCGTTTCAATATTTCATTTTTAGTGTTTACCCATAAGCCGATGTTTGAGAGTGTTTTGAACGATGTTAATCCAAAAGAGGTGCATTTCAATTTTTCTCCCTTGGACTTATACCTAATGGAAAGGTCGCAAAACTGACCCGACCTTAGGTCACAGATGTCGACATTCCGAGATATACCTTATACATTTTATACAAACTTTTACTGTTATCAATCTCTGAAAATTTCAAAGCGATCGTTCAGTCGGTGTAGCTAAAGCGAGCATTGGAACCTTTTATGGGGTAAGGTCACTTGACGTGACCTGGTGACCTGACCTTGAACGACCGAGTCTGAAATTGTCACAACATGTGCAGAAAAGATGTATGAACAGAGTACTAAAAACCGCGACGTTGCGCGCAGCCGTTTTTTTTTTTTTAAAGGGACAGTATCACCATTTTGATGAAATTTGACATTGCATAGGCCCCACCTTTCTGGTCCGGGAACTGAAGACCGATCCTCGAAGCTCCACACCGTTATCCCGCTATCGCCGCTCAAAGTACGAAAGGTGTACCACACTTTGAATCGTGCTTCACTATCTTCACTGTTTAAATGTTTGCGCCGTTTTGAATTGACCGCCAGTAATAAAACTTTTACCCTGGTCATTTCATCAAATTTTATAAAGCCAAAACGTTTTTCGCACTTATTCATCACCGTTAAATTCATTAAATAGTCGTAGGCAATTTCCGCTGTTTCCTTCGGATTCTAGCGGCTCAACAAAGGAATTCCTCCAGCTGGAATCACAATCTCCCTCCAATGTGTGACGTTTATCACGTGATTGTCACGTGATATTTTCTCCCATTGTCAATTGTCACGTCCAATTGTCACTCCCTCCAATTGTCACGTTATATTTTTATAGGCAATACCTAAGGCTACCTCTCCCTAAGGACAACTCAATCAGAAGAACGACCGCGTAAGCGTAGCGTCAATAATGTATTATCTGCGCCAGTTCTGTAGTAATTTTGCATGCTTCCAAACTGGCGGCCATGCTTGTATAGTGGTGGTTCGCTCATGAAAATGAATCATGAAAATGAAATGTGGTTGCAATATTTTTCACCGAGTTCGGTCCTCAAACTATGTTTTTCTGATTCAGAAAAATAAGAAATGCTAGTAAAAAAAAAAATCAGCTCCTTACCTGGATTTTTTTTTCGATGATACTGTCACTTTAATAGATATTCGGGCAAAACTTGATCGGGGCGTACCCCCCCCCCCCCACCCCCCAGCACGGCGCGGAATAGTAAGGTATTTTTCCTACCATGAAATGACCAGTCAGGGTGGTCCTTTTCGTCATGAAGAGCTTTCATCCATAGATCTGAAATAAATGTCGACAAATCGTATAATTTGTTTATACAAAAACATACACTACACCGAACGATAAACAATATGGACTTTCCTGATGCTTAAGTTGCAACATATAACTGTTAAAGAAAGTAAGGACGCAGTTAAGCACGTTTAAAAGCAAACTTAATCAGCTTACATTTAACCCCTAATTCGGTATGAAATAATTTGCCGATAATTTACAGTTTGCTATGCATAATCTACTGCTGAATCTCCTCTTTAAGTAGCTGGCAGCCACATTTCTTAACCCATCGGTTTAATCACACGGAGTAGCTGCGACAGTGCACGCGTGTCCACTCACTCGGAAAGTCGATGTCACAGTCACTGCAGCGCAGTGGCCGCTGCACCCTCATCGTCTGGGACATGTTCTCCGAACTGCGAGTCGGCACCTGAAAAACGACTGTGGCAGTGACCGCGCGGAGGGAGTGGCTTAGCTTCCATTCAGTCACAGCCTAAACAAGATTGTTTCGGCCATGGTTGTTATTAATCTGGATCTGACCGAGTTAAAGTTTGAACATAGGGACAAACAATCTGCAGAGCAAAAGGTTTTAAGATTGGGGATCAGAGCCAAAAAACGTACACCGTGATAATAGAGCTGCCATACGAAAAGAAAATTATTATTTGGGGTTCCGACTGGCGACTATGAACCTGATGGAGCTCCTGGTACTGCGACTCCACATACCGTCTGGATGACGGCACGGGGACGAATGGCGCTGCCCATGTCGAATATATACCCAGCCAACATGTATACCTACTCCACGCATAAGTCACTGAAAGTGGTCATGACAATGACATGAAGGCGAACCACATTCCAGGACCTTATTTGGGGCTCCGATATCGGCAGGTAAATGACGCCATGATGTCACCGTTTCCGGCAGCGGGCTGCGTGTAAACCGGAGCCTCGTGACGGCCGGGCGAGCGCCCATGGTGGGCCATTGGTAAGCGAGTGGTGCCGCGACTGGTGGGCGACTGGTGTCGTGATTGGTGCCGCGATTGGTGCCGCGACTGGTGCCGCGACTGGGCGGACTGTAGGAAAGCCCGGGCCGGTGCGCAGACACTGCAGGTGCCGGGAGTGTTGGGTGGGACGCAGACACTGGCTGTCTGGTGGGACGCAGACACTGGGTGGGGGGGGGGGGACAAACTGGGCGCTGACTGCCGGGTCGGTGGCCTGGTTGGCGGCCAGCGGACAATTCAAGGAAACGAAACCTACGCCTGACCCTGGGCCGCCAACGCACATGGATAAGACCGAGACTGGACTAGCGCGCATAACAGAGCTGTTTTGCTCAAGCCGACATTTTGTCGACATTTTAGTCGGCATTAAGTCCGACATTTGAGACATTTTTGGTAGTAATCTATTTGCAAAGTAGGGACATGCCGCATGTACAACATACAAATGCTTTGGGTTTTGTTCGGGTTGTTTTGTCAGTTTCATATCCTTCTATTTATTTCGGGTCCATTTCTGGGCCAAGGGATGAGAAAATAACAAGGAGACGATTGAGACCATTGGCTGGTGCGTCACACTCACAAGAGCTGAGGTCGAGAACAAAACCTGAAATATCCTTAGAACAGGGATGGTATCCCAGTACTTAATTCAACCGGTCACTCTGAGTCTGGACGATCGAGTCCCAAACGGAGCACCCGTCGACCGCAAAGAACCACGACGGCGTCCCACATTTCGCCACACCGGATCCCGAACCTTCTCACTTGTAAGTACCAATGCCAGCCGCATAATTAGCCCCAGGGTCCTCCTCACCTGGTAACCTGGCCGCTCCTGTCAACCTCCTCTCGTCTGCCAGCAGCGGTCCTTGTCGCCTCGGCCGTTCCGGGCGCACCCCTCCTGTCTCGAGCTGGTACGGTGGACTGAGCCGGTGGCCGAGCCCGACCGACCGACGCCGTGCGGCCTCCACGAGCTGGAGGTGCCTCCGGCGCTGCCAGTCACCACAGCCCGCCAGACGCGACCGCACGGTGAAAATATTGAATAAAACTCGGCGTGGGAGAGAGGGTCTTGTTATGGCTCAAGAGCTCAATAAAACCAACAACTTTTGATCTTACATTATACATTCAAAAGTAACGCTTAGCACTACGCTAAGTCGGGTACCGAAAACTTAGGAATCAATTTTGTACCCAAACTCGCGCCACCCGCCGTTCTTTTTTCGGCTGTCACACACAAGTTTTTATTATTTAGTTATGTGATAGCTTCGCTGCCGCACCCGTTATTGGCTTCACCTCGAGCTACCAGTGCGGGAATTGCGCCGCTCCCAAGCTGCGGGAGGCCAAGCCAGGGTCGTAACCTGTGACCCATAGAGGTCAGAACTCAGAGCCAGCAGCGTGACGCCGCGCAAACTTGTGGTCCAAGCAGAGGCCAGAGGCCGCTGGGTTTGTGGATTCCAATCTCTGGTCGAGAGAACTGCAGTAGGTATTTTGTGTTTCAGTTTATCGGTACACAACCGACAAGATGAATCAACTGAAAGCGAGCTGATCTCGCCACTACCGGGCTATAGCTGAAATCACGATACGAGTTCCGAGGTCCGGCTGGTGGCGTTGGATCGCGATTCCGAGAATCGCACTGTGTGGTGCGCGGATGAATCAGCGGTGACGTCATCCAGTGGATGGCGTCACCGCTGATGACGTCAATATCCAAGCCTTTTACATGCATGGGCTGCATTATTCATTCGCGCACCGTGCACATGTTCCACAGCCCCCCCCCCCCTTCTAAAGTTTTCCGCAGATATCTCAAAAACGGCGGAGCGCAAATTTATACATCTTTTCCGCACATGTTGTGAAAATTTCAGACCCAGGTCACTCAAGGTCAGGTCACCAGGTTACGTGAAGCGACCTCACCTCAGAAAAGCTAGAATCCTCGTCATAGCTGCAACGACCGAACGATCACCTTGAAATTTTCTACGATTGATAACAGTAACATCACACACAAAATGTATATCTCGGAATTAAGACATCGGTGACCTGAGGTCAGGTCAATTTTGCGGCCTCTCCATTATGTAAGTCAATGGGAGAAAATTGAAAGGCGCCTTTTTTGACGGAAGTCATTCCGAACGCTCTCAAACATCGTACTTCTAATACGACGTTTTAATCGCAATCGATGTTTTAATCGATGTTTTAATCGCATTTAATCGCATTTTAAATTTTTCCCATGTTAACCCTATTGGAAAATGCACGTGCCGATTACCCCAAAACGGGCCCATTATATTCTATGCAACTTTGCCAGAAGTTAGCTCCCCCATACGAGACCAAACGCTGAAAATGGCAAGAAAGTTGACCGTGCCGTTTCGGCGGCGATCAAAATGACCAAAATCGCGGCAGAAACGTTAAACACCCCCTTAGAGAGGTAGCTCAGGTTGGGATTTTCAATAGAAAATCACAATTCTAAAGAATAGTGATTGTTCTTAATTGAAAAGTCCCAACCGGCGCACACGGGCGTGTACCGGAACGTGTTTGCCATAAAATGCTGGGAAGAAAACCACCTCTTCCTTGGCTCGTTTTCCCGCCATTTGCGATCGCGCAAAAAGTGTCCCAAAACCCCATTGACTTATAAACATGGGCGAAAGCCGAAAATTGAAACGCACGTGCCACGCGCAAAAGAATTCTGAGCGAGTAGCGACCGGTGCCATCAGCTAGATCGCCTTCGAAAGTATACCTAGGTACCCTGTAATTTTTACGAAAATCGTAAAAGAGAGTTCAGACACCTCTCCGGCCCGGCAGGGTTGGCGCCGAGCACCGGCCCGGCGCGGGTTACGAATTACGATAAAATGCAGTATGCACTGTCTCATATTGCCCCGGCATTATGCACTATCCTTCCCCTACTAATGCAGGCGACAGTGAGGGACGTCTCGTAGATCTCGGTTCAAACTAATGACGTCATTTACACTGAGGATTGTTTTGTCGTAACTTCGTCGTTAAATAAATATTGAGTCCTTGGTAAGTTTGACGAATATGGCGTCGGGTGACAGGCGACTTGGACGTGAACGAGGAACAATCCCTACTCCAGATGAAGTTAAAATGCCTGCAAACGTTTTCAAAAATGATGGAAGCTTTCTAGAAATGTTTAAAAAAGCTCAGCAAAGTGGTACTTCAAAGCCAAGCACGTCTACGGTCGGTCAAGTCAGTGGCCCTGCGCCGGTTTCGTCTCAGGCAGCAGAGAGTGAACCTGAGCAGAGTAAGAAGTCTGCAAAGGAGATACCGAGACCAAAGTATGGATTTGTGGGCAAAAGGCGTGGTGGGAAGATACTTCCCACAGGAAAAGTGAAAAAGGCAAAGCAGGATGAAGATGAAGACACTGAAAAGAAAGATGCATGGTCGCAGTACATGTCGGAAGTCAAGAAATACAAGGATCAGTCATGTCAGGAGGAAGGAAAGACGAGGCCACTGGTGAAATGACTGAAACAGTGGACTGGTTTTGTCAGTTTGACTGTCTCAATTTGAAAAAACCATGAGGATGTGTGTATGTCCAATGTACATTGAAAGAGGTTGGTATCAACTATCAATGGCCAACCCTGTCTCTGAAGATGGTTGCCAGCAGTGCAGTGCAAAGTTTTGATTCCTGCTGGTTATCGCACTCACAGGCAAGTGTCTGTCCATTTATCATGCAGTGCTGCTTCAAAGTTAGTGGAAGCTTCATCAACAACATTCAATATATGTCATCATCAAAAACAATTTTTTTGATATTAAAATGATAGGATAGTGAAACAGGGTTAGAACAGGGCAGCGATCACTTTTGGAGCAGGCCAGGCCAGACATCACTCACCACTGTCTATGTCACTCACTCCTGAAAGTTAAAATTGATGTGTGTGTACAGTCCAGCACAGAGGTAACATGTGCTTTCAGTCATGCTTATGCTTTGCTTTTGTATCTCAAGAACAAGAATGATGTGCCAGACTACAATGAAACTTGAAATATAGATTACATGTATTGTCAAGCTTTCAGCTGCAAATTTATCATTAGCTATACACTCCTGAATTACCTCCTTTTCAACAGTCAAAGCCATTCTGTTGAGATTGGTATAGCCGCACATTACTTCAGTGGTGGGCTGTACCTACCACTTAAACTCCCTGCAATCTGCATAAATCTTTTTTTTTTTAAATGATGCTTAATTTGCAATTTACAGTAGGTTTTTGAAAATGCTAACAGATTGCCTATGACTTTCTGGTGAGCATGTATTGTTTTATATGTGGCAAAAGTTTGAACATGATTTATATTTTTTATTGGTGCCTAGCTGTTAGGAGTATGAAATGATACAGAAAATAATATAGGTACCTAATCAGTGCCCTGTATTCTGCTGTTCTTAGATCTACATAGACATGCATGGTCAGTTGCCATTTTCTTAACCTGTGACCTGCTGGTGAGTGGTAGTTGTTTGAACAGCCCCAGTTTTTGGTTAACCTTATTATGCATCTTTTCTGCACATGTTGTGAGTTTCAGACCTAGGTCACTGAAGGTCAGGTCACATAAAGTGACCCAGGGCCTCATCTAAGAGATTTTCACTGGATGGCTAGAGACTGAAGGAGCCAAACCTAGGGTAACTACTCTTAAGTCCTAACTCCTCTTTTCTCACTGGATTTAGGCCACCTTTATTTCATCACAGCACTGAAACCTGAAAAAAAAACTTTTTTAAACAAAAAAATATTAGGCCACCCAACCCAAGCCTTTGCATTAGTTAATTACCCCTCACATTGCCCCACCAGACAGTACTAATCATACAAAAAATGAAACTGTAGTTTTTGGACCTGCGGCACCTTTTCTTAAGTCGGTTATTTTTTTACCATTTCAGCCTCTCATGACTGCTTTACTGTTAATCAGAGCCCAAATTTAACGACTTATTTCCGTTTATTTGTAAGAATCTTGCTCCCGTTATGGCTACAAGGGAGCCATCACTTAGGTATGTGCTTCTGCTTCTGGTTCGTGCAAGGTAGAGTTCGGTCGGGGAAACTGTGGTCAAAGCTTCAAGATGGGTCAAATCTATGTGGTCAAATCTATTTTCTGGCCATGGCCACCAATTTGGCTATCTCAACTCAAAACTAATGTTAAGGTGGGATGTTCACTTTAAGATGCTCGAAAAGGTCCTACCTGCGGCTTAACAAAGTTGAAGTTTTAATAGCTTCGCCACTGAATCTATCGTTACTACCCTTTTACTTATAGGCTAAGCACATTTTTCATGAAAATATTATATATTGTTAAGGTGAGGCTAAAGGTCTGGTCACCAGAGGCATCAAAGGTCAAATTTTGTCTTTCAACAATTTTCGAAACACCCGACGGCTAACTCGGGAACCAATAGAGTTACAGCGCCGCGGAAAAGCGCATTCGATAGCTCTTTTAATGCTCTTTCGCCTGCATGTCCTCAGATTTGACCTCAGGTGAACGGTTTGCCTCCAGAGGGCAACAACTAAAAATAGCCGTTTTCACGAATTCAAGAGAGCCGCGATATTGCTTTTGCCAGCCCCGTGCCCCTCTCGTCGAGACGCGTCGAATGAATTATAAGTTGACCTTGAAAGGTCATTTTTAAAATTTGAATTCAGGTCAAGGTCATGACCAGACGAGAATAGGTCATGTTGCACATCAGTCGATCCGTATCGTCGAGCTGAACACACCTGAGGTATTTTCATCGCTCTAGCATGTTTCTATCAATGCTGGGGATCTTTCATGACCTGATATGACCTCAGGACATCCGACATCAGGAGAGGTCACAGGTGCCATTTTCGCTTCAGCTTATCGAGTTTACCCGTAACTCGGTGTTTGAGAGTGCTTTGAATGACGTTCGTACAAAAAAAGGCGCCTTTCAATTTTCTCCCATTGACTTATACCTACCTAATGGAGAGGTCGCAAAATTGACCTGACCTTAGGTCACTCAAATCAAAATTCTGAAATATATACCTATTTCATATATGCTGGTACCCTTATCAATCGCTGACAGTTTCAAGGCGATCGTTCAGTCGGTGTAGCTATGACGAGGGTTCTAACTTTTTCTGAGGTTAGGTCACTTGATCCTAAGGTCAGGTCAATTTTGCGTTAGGGTGGCCACTTTGCCCTGGTCTCCCCTATTTGTTTCTACTGGAAGGTTGTAAGAATCTAAAATACAGTTACAGTAGAATCCGCTTAATAGATCCACCTCGGTTACACAGCCTTTTGGATTTATTAAGCGGTGGGTTTATTAATCGAGGTCAGTTATGCTTCTACATACGGAGAAAATCCGTGAACAGCTCAAGTGGCCACAATAAGCGGTTGGATTAATTGTCCGAGGATTTATTAAGTGGATTATACTGTATATTATAGATATAAGCATTGTGTGTCTTGTCCTGTCCTGGGCATCTAGATGGTTCCCCTGCCCTAAATGTTAATCTAAAAAGCGACTTCAACTTGTTTCTGTACCTGCTAGGCCATCTAGTACATGACACTCATCTGCTAACAACTGATTTATAATCGGCATTGACCTTTGTGTGCCTTGGTAATGCTGGCATCCCTACAGCCATGTGCTAGTTTACCTACATCTGGTTTACATCACAAGTACAACTAACTTGTCCAGTGACAGCCATTGTCTGTGTTTTGGCTGGAAGAAGAGTTTGAGGTCGACAGCGTCGGCTTTGATCCACACACCTCTCACACTCATCAAGGATGCATATTACTGCATAAGCCAACTGAACCAAAGTGTTGGTTGCCGGTGACCAGTTACAACCCAATCACCTCTCATCAAGCATTGACGCATTAGTCAGCTACGCAGTACGGGGGATGTATAGTGTGCTAATAGTGTGCCAATGAGCTCCTTGACGATGGCACCACTGTTTCATTTTAAATAGAACCCTGATGAAATAACTTATACAGTTGTTACTGTATTTTCAGTATAGATTAAGTAGTCTATATCTGATATCTTGTATTGAAAGTTTTATAACATAAGCATATGCCTTACAGACATCGCGCAATGACACCGAAGCATAAAACATCAAACATATGTCATGCGTGACTATGGTAAGGTAGCGAAAAGCTCGGATATGTAAGAGCAGTTGAAGGACATTTGGCTCCAGGGGCGAGTATTGGCGCGGAGGCATTAACAACATCACTATATATTCCATGCACACATAATGCAGACAATACTAACTGATAAGCGACACCCAGGCATATGACGAACTGAGTGATCTGCGAAGAATTACTGCTACAAATATAAGCCAAGCTCTCATTCTGGTGTAATCACGTATTACTAATAACCAGCTCAATGGTCACGATTACATTGAAGTCCTAAAACAGGAAATATTCACGCGTGAAACGAACCCGCACGTAACTATAGATAATATCGCGGGTCCCTGGCGCGCGTCCGCATGCAAAGATACTTATATGCTGGTGTGCCTGTCTTTCTTTGGCCAACATGTCCTGTATATCACAAACAGGTGAAAGGGAAGCCGGGGCACTGCTTTTCGAACCCCTCTTGTTGCTGAAGCGCAGCCCGAGCACTGATACTTCAGACCAGTCACTGGAAATTCGCGTAGGTTGCGAATGCGTCCAGCCACGACAAAGCCACATCGTAGCAAAGCTGGTACTGCTCCTGGAATGAGAGATAGAGCTTCAAGGTTAGTTTCGTGTTGAAAACTTATGTGGACGCCTATGAGGCTTGCATGATGTATGGCATCTCAGGTTATCCCATTGTAACTATCAAGAACATGCCACATCTTGATGATCAATTGTCCGCAGGATACGTGGTTTTGCCTAGCTAAAAGGCTGTTTTTGTTTCCGATTCGCCCCTTTTTTATAAGCCTCCCAGGAGCGAGATGTCGGAATGAATGGCGAGCGCTCGACTTGAGCATTCCTTTTCCATTGCCGAACTATACGTTGCCCAACGAGCTAGACATGACGCTCACCAGGCCTGTGATGAACTGTGGCCGACTGCGGCGCACCACCGACACCGCCATCGCCACGTCCAGCTCCTGTTCCTCGCTCAGGTGCTCCAGCTCGAAACACACCGTCAGGAACAGGCCGCACCCGGACACGCCGTTCCTGGGAGAGCAGCGAGCCTGGATTAGTACCATCCGGAGCGCACCCTGGCGTGGTGGAGCTGTTCGTTCTACCCGGAACCGTTTTGCATTCGGACATTGTGTACAGGATGGATTTGTGATCCTGAGAGGGGACATCCTGCCGGGGTGGTCTGTGTGCCGGGCGTTACCTGCAGACGACCACGGCGGGGAGCGCGCCCAGCGGTGCCGCCGACCGCATGTAGGCGCTGTACAGTTGTAGGAGCTCCGCCGCCCGGGGAAGGCTGGGGCGTCGCCGCGCACCGCCCTCCTCAGCGCCGGCCAGCACCAGTACGGTGACGTCGATTGTTTCGGTCATCTGCCAAAGAAGGTGTCCAGCTGTGAGACAGAAAAGGTTGGTTGGGAGTGGGGGTTCTTTCGGGTGTTACAGGGAGTTTGCTACCCGAGGATGTTTCGCAAACTGGTAGAAGCGAAACCGATGAGCATGAGGGTTATTAGTTTGTCATAAGACGTTACCTACCAATGTCGTACATACCTGGCCAGATTCAAAACACAGTATCTTGAGGCTGACTGTGATAATGCCGTCAGACGCCGTTTCGCCGCTGCTCTGTACTTCCACGTCGCGGTAGACGTCGGCTTGTCCTTCGGTAGGCCAGAACACCTGAAAGGTGGCAATGAAAAGCAAGTTACTTCCACGCAGATGCAATTTGTATGCATTGTGTATCCTCAAAACGGCTTGAAGGTAACTTACGTCTTCCTCTTCAAGGTCGTTCATAATGACAATGATTCGGGACCGCTTTTGAACCACCATCTGCCAGAAGACGTATTTCCTGGCCGGAAGGGGAGCCTCCGTTGCGATGAAGGCATCTTGCCTCTTGTACCCCTGCACGAACACTGCGTTGATGTAGTTGTCCTTTATCTTCGGATCCAAGAACACGCGACTCGAGTCGTCTGGAACGTGGGAAGCAACCAGTGGAGTATGGCTGCTTGTCTCCTACAACACCGCCTAATTCACACTCCTTATGTTCATGTGAAATGGAATAAACACCTGTTTATGGAAAATGTATACGTCTCACAAGTTTCTCTAGTCATTGTCATATCAGTTCGAGGTTGTTCCAGGAACAAAGGCTCTCATATCCGTCCATAATGAGTACGAGCGTTATGTAGTCCTAATGACAAACTTCGAACTACTTTGGTATTCATTCAATCACGTGCGTGGTACACAACGTTTCAATGCATTGCTCAACACAGGTGCACCACCCGAGGCCTTTGCACCTAGCCGGGCGTTGTGGCCCGCGTCACTGACCTGGCAGCACGTCCGGTGACCGGTTTTTGCCCTCCAGCTGGAGACCGCCGAGGCTGAAGTGAGTGGCCACAGGTCGGTGTTGCTCCAGGTAGCTGAGCTGCTGCTCGACCTGCGAGGGACCTCCGGCCGGGCCGGGCGCGCGCAGCTGCGGCAGCCGGGCGGCCAGCTGGGCGGCCGGCACCGCCATCGACGGAGACACGAGCAGCTCGACGAGCACCTGGTGCACCAGCTGGTACTGGGCCAGGTTGGCGCACAGGTTGGCCCGCTGCTGGCGGATGACGGCCAGGTGGGAGGCCACGTCCACCGCTTGCTCGCGCTGTCCCATCTGGTACATGCTGTCGATCAGGATCACGGTGCCAGTTCGACCCACGCCGGCGCTGAAACCACACGGCACACACAATCGTTTCACGAATCCATTTTACATATTTGCTTTACTTACGAAACAGTGTTTGACAGATTGTCGATCATGTGTGTGTGCGTGTCACTAAAAGAAGCAGATATGCTTACTCTTCCCCGAGGCCCGAAAGTGGTGATGGCGGACATAAGTTCCACAATCACCAGACATCCACAAGGAATGTTTGCCACTTCCGTTCGGTTATGATTTTTACAGATGTGAGGTATAGGAACGCTGCCGGTTTTAGAGCTGCGCTCTGAGTTGTGCCTGCACGTGATACCCACCTACAGTGGACCACGGTTGGGGCGGCCTGATCATTGACGCCGTTCACCGTCCTGATGAACTTGGCCAGCGATGAGGGGTACAGTGGCACGCTGTGATCCGGCCAGGCCGTGTAGTGGAACTGGGTCACCTGCAACATGGGATGGGTTCGTTCTCCATACCGACAAACACAAACACCATTTTTAAATAGGACCGACTGAATGCGTGGCAGATTAGCCAACACCGATCAAAATTTCCAGAGGCTCCGCCTTCCAACCCAGAGGCAGACTTCGCAATGTATAGTTAGAGTGTATGCTACGTACCACTCTGTTGAGATTTCCATGATTGATGGAGAATGTCCGCACAATGAAGTCGCTGTACTCTTGCACCATCTCGAGAGAAACCTTCATGCCAGGCAGACGGAGCCGCCTTTCCGTGGGCCAGTACTCGTCGCACTTGCGTTTTCCACCCTCGACCAGATTGGTGACCATGACAATGCGAGCGACCTTCTCTTGCCACACCATGCGCCAGAAATCGTACTTGGTCTCCTTCTTGGGGCCCTGACAGGCGATATAGCCACGTGGGCGATTGTACCCCTGTGAAAACATCCAAGATAGGTTTGGAAATGGGACTTTCGGTAGGGCGCTTGTATGCCTTGATCAATGACGAAGAGACATTCTCATTTTATGATCTTGTCGCTGTTTGTCCAGTGCAGTTTGTCTAACTGAACTGATTTCAGCCTTTCGGACCCAAATTTACGTGAGTTTGCCTTGAAACCATTTTATTTAGGAAATAGCTAGGTATCAATAAAAAAAAATCAATTTACCAGTTTGGTGCCTGATAACAAACCAGCGAAAATTTTGGCCACGCCTGCGATAATATGTCCCAGCATGCCAACCCACCTCAACGAAGTTGGCGTTTATGTAGTCTGAGAAATCGTCGCCCGGTACCTTCTCGAGCACGACACGGGATTCATCGTCTGCAAAACAAAGAAAAAACAAGAGGGTCTTTTCGAAGATCGAAACTCATGAATACCGGGCTTCTCCCCTCCCCGCAGGCAAATAATTCATTTTCGTCCGGTTTGTCAAAGTAAACTCACAGGGCAGCAGGTTTATGTATCTGTTTTTGTGTTTGTTCTCTGCGAGTTGACCTCGGGTGCAGGGCCTGGTCAGGCCGTGCGGCACGTTCTGCAACTGAGCCATCAGCTGGCCGGACGCCACGTCGGCTCTGACCCTCTCCGCCAGGTCCTTCAGCTCGATCCTGGTGAAGTTTATCTGCATCGGCTGTCGGTCAGTAATGCGTACATCAGAATTCAAAAGATGCGATAGTATCCCTGAAACTTGTGCACATGTGTCTACCGACACTGTACGTCCATGTCCACCATTTTCTGTTTATGGCAACTAGGGAAAAGAAAAAGAATATGATAATGCTTGCTGGCATTCCTTTCCTCCTGCACTTTATATCGTCATGACAAGGTCACCAAAAATAGCGTGTTTTAAAGTTTTGGCTGGGGCATGGACACTGGACAGTGATCAACGTGTGCTTACCTGCTCGTTGGCATATATTGCTTCTTCGTCTTCCATATCTTCGTTTTCGATCTTCACTGGCTTCTCGAGATTTCGCACATCTTCCAAAGGAACATCGGCTGGAACCGAGACATTTTCACACTGTTCTATTACTAATGGAAATAACATACCTACCCACCTATCAACGTCGTTCTCAATAGGAATGTTACAGGTCACAGGAGGCGTATGGCAAGCAAATAAAAGTCAGCCTTGGTAACGATGGAATTGTAACATAAAATAATTCAGACATGCTAGGGAACGTACCTTCATTCCGGTTTCCAGAGTTTTTGAATATCGCGCTTTTAATGCGTTTCCTGTCGGGAGTTAAGCAAATGTCACTGCTGATATTGGATACACCCTACCTAAATAAGGTGAGTGATTATAGACTTTAAAATCGTTGGATTGACGTCATATTCGAAGTGGGTGAGATTGACGAAAATGCCCAACTCTCTCTCATTCTTTCCCCTACAGCTACTTAGAAATGAATGTTTTTCACTTACCGGTAGGCGATTGCTGCCACCAATAGGACAAACAGGGCAAGAGACAGAAAAGCGAGAAGAACGGGCAGAACCGGTGATGCTGCAAAGGAGGGAATGTGTCGACGAGTGATTTCAGTCATGCTGTGGCATTTCTTAACCCGCGCATGACTGGGGTATTTTCCATAACGTGAGTGACTGAGGGGGGTTCTCCAGAGCCCCCCCCCTCCCCTCCCATCTCCAAAACTACTGGGCTGATCGTCAAAATTCAAACGGCGTCTGATAGCCCTGTAAAAACTGTCGTGCGAAACCTATTTTCATTGACCTCGAGGTCACAGGTGACGTCACAACTCACAGGTCAGGTCAAATTAAAAATTATCGGCATTTTTGCTTGTTTACAATTTAGCCTCTGGCCGGCGACTGACAAGTCCGATCAGGCTCATTTTTTGTTTACGCACTCCTTGATATATGCCTTAGGTACCCTGAGGGTACCGAACTTTTGCTTCGATTTTTTTTGCAGGTCAAGGCCAGGCCATCCTAGGTCACGAAATTGTATATCATGTATCGGTCACGTGACGCATGTTCTATGGTCCATTTTACACGTATATTTCGAAAATAATGTCGTTTGTGTCATTTGAGGTCATTTTCAGCTGAATTTATCGGAGGTCAGGTCAATTTCAGGTCAGAAAAGGTCAAATTTTGAAAATGAATTTTTTCAACAAAAAAGGTGCCTGTCAGATGCAGTTTGAGATCAGGAATAAGATGGTGTCATTTATATTGCTGTACGATATCAAAAACGTGCTGAAAATGGTGTTGAAAAATAAATAATTGTAAAATTTTGACAATAATGCAAATAACTTGGCTATTTTTGAAGATATTGGGCTAAAACTTGCTAGAGTAGTTTATCAGTGTGTGTTCTATCACCCTATATTCCGATTTTTGCGAAAAATCTAAAACTATCTGAAAAAATATATTTCTTGTAATTGTAGGAAAAAACTTTTTTTTTTAATTTTCAAAATTTCGAAAATTCGAGATAGCAGTTTGATAGCTACGTGTATTTGTAGTCCACTGATGCAACGAAGTCGGACCTAGCTTTAAAACTAAGCTTTTGAGAGCGTTTGCCGTAAATCAATATTTTGCATCAAAATCGGCCGACATGACGTCACTCTGACGTCATTTCCGGCCAAACTATGGTAGCTAGAAAGTTTAAATTTTAACACAAGGTGTCAAATTGATGCCGCTGAGGGTACTGCAAGATTCGTGTTGACCCGTGAAACGGCTTAGAAGATATCACCGAAAAACGGGAGGGGGGCTCTGTAGAGCCCCCCCCCCCCAGTCATGCGCGGGTTAACATCAGAGACAATAGATGCGAATACCTGCATCACTAACTACTGTATTATCTAGGTGCATATGTATATCATGCAATTTCCCAGTTATCGTTTTGTAGGGTGAGGTGTTTAGCCGTTAGGTGATCTAATTTATAGATTTGTCGATTAAAGATGCAAAAGCAAACGTGGAAAAACGACTCGAAATAGGTTAAAGGGTTGAAGAGAAACTCGCGCCCATAACACCCAGTTCAAAAGTTCTTGAACTGATAATGCGAAACCCGTTCATCAACGGAAAGACATGGAAACACATTGCAAAATTGAGTTGTGTAATTTAATGAAAACCAAGCTAAATTTTCAGTTGAGTTTAGCTGTCTCCGTCACCTGGAGGTCGAAGGACGACGATGGACTCTCCGATCTGCTGGAAGGCCAGCTGCTCGTTGTCGTCGTCGATCCGGGAGATAACGGCCACGCCGAACCAGTACTTGTCGCCGGTGGTCAGCGGCTGGTTCAGATACGGCGTCTCGGTGCTGTTGTAGTATCGCCCGTCACCGACCACGAACGTGCTGTCTCGCTGCACTCGCTCCTGCAGCATCAGCGCGATTAAATTGGAGACGGTTCTTCCAGGCTGACTGACTGACGGAGCACGCTGTGGCTCAGGCACTGTGCCTGAGTCAGCTAGAGAGCGAGAGGTGTGCCGCACACCTCTAGTCTCCCAGGCAGGGAGAGCAGAGTGATGGGCAAAACGATGAATAAGTTTCCCGCCATGTCTAGCACCCACCCACTCCAGTTACAGACTTACCCCTACTCAAGTGTCGATCAACCGACTTAACCCACCGACTACAGACCCACCACCCGCCTTCACCCACCGACACCCACCACCCACCGGCTCCAGGGCGGCCGTGACGTAGTAGCCCAGCTCGTCTTTCTCGCTCTCCTCTGCGTTGGGCAGGGCGCTCGGCACCACCTGGACCGCGTCGAACCCCTCGGCGGTGGCCACCAGCACCAGGTAGCTGGAGAGCGGGCCGCCGCCGCTCTCGGCTGCCGGCAGCACCAGCTGCACGGTGGTGTCCGTGGTGCGCTCGGGCACCACCCTGGGCTGCTCGCGGACCGTCGGTGCCGCCACCAGGGTGTGTACCACCACGCTCGCCCAGCTGCCGAAGCCGGCCGACGTGCTGGCGGCTACCTCCAGACGGTACGCGGTGCCGGGAGACAGGCCCTCCACCAGCTGGCTGTACGGTGTGTCGTCTGCGGAGGAAACGATGGCACACCGCTCAGATGGTTGAACGAATCAAATCCCTGGGGCCGCAATGGAAGAGAAGAGGGCTCACCTGGAACGGAGAGAAGGAAATTAAACGAACGATAGGATCCACTCAGACTGATTCGTTCTGTTGTCCTGTCCACAAGCGGCGCACCTACCGTTCAACTGGCGGCCGTCCCGTTGCCGGGCCGGCAGGGTGAAGGTGCGCGCGCCAGCGGCCCGTCTGAGGCGCCTTCCAGAGCCGGACTCGTCAGCAGAGACGTTCAGCCGGAACTGGAGCAGACGGCCGTTCTTTTCCTCCGGCTCCAGCCAGGAGACGTTGAGCATGGTCTGGCTGCGGTTGGTGAACCTCAGGTCCCGTGGTAGCCCCGGGGCTGAGGGTATAGCACAGTTCATTGGTCAGTTTCAGTCTCACAGAACTGAAGCTGACCAATAGGGAGGTTGCAAAATTGACCTGACCTTAGGCCACCGATATCAAAATTTCTAGATATACCTACATTTTGTACATGCTATTGCTTTTATTTAATCGCTGAAAGTTTCAAAGCAATCTATCACTGGGTGTAGCTATGGTAGACATTGAAACTTTTTACGAGGTGAGGTCTTTTGAAGTGACCTGACCTTGGATGACCTTGCTCTGAAATTTTCACAACATAGGATGTAGAATTGATGTATGATAAGGTGTGCCAAAAACTTTGCGAAAAAAAAAACACAGGACCAAACATGTTCAAACATCAAACATTCCCCAGCAGGCCGCGGGTTAACCCTCGCCCGTAAACGGTGTTTTGCCACCTTCGCCCATGCAGTGGTTGGTTGGTTGGTGCGACCCCCCTGGCGTTTGAAAACGGAGCGTCGTAGAGCTTAGCGGAAAAGACCAACGGATTGCTCTCAACGAGATCTCGCGATTGGTGGTATATTTTTTGGTCCTAGGTCAACATTTGACCTACTTATGGCCGGTCAAAGGTCAAATTTTCGGAAAAAAATCCAACTTTTTTCATATTTCCGCGCCGATTGCGGCAAAACGGTAAGAGATATCGACTTGAAACCTTCACTATCGTGATCCTTGATCAATTTTCTATCGTTTGGTGTGAATTTCGATGTCATAACTCTAAAAATGATGGGTTGGGAGCATCGGAAGTCTGCAAGGTCATTTGTGCATTGGGTCACGTCAGGCGTGTGACGTCACTGACCTGACCCTGACCCAAAATGAACTACAAGAAACAACCGACGATGCCTGAAATGGATAGCAAATTCGAATTCAGGGCATCAAAATACCCCGGAAAGGCATACCTTCAAGTGCAAGAAGTCATTACAGGTCAACCGAGGTCACTGACCTTACCTTGACCTTTAGTAACCTTCAAAATGTCAACGGACATTGTGCCAATGTCAAATCAGCCAGTTGTGATTCTAAAACAATCCATCAGTGTGTCAGGTCAGTCGGCATTTATACCAATGTGAAGCAATCTCCAATTTAGCGTAAATCTGGCCAGAGGTTGTTCCCTTTATGACGTCATAACTCCCTGACCTAACATGACCTTGACAAAAAAAAGTTGCGCAAAGGATGCCCCAGAGGGTACTGAAAATTTGAGCAGGCTATCTGAAACGGTTCGGCGTGTAGCTAAGAAAAACCTCAGGGGGGGTTGCACCATGACCCCCCCCCCCCTACATGGGCGAGGGTTAAGATATTTTTTATCAGATGGCTTTCCACATAAGCGATAGGTTAACCCGCGCCGCGTGGGGGTGGGGCGGTCGGAATGCCCCCTTCCTTGCACTTTTTCGTAGATATCTCCTAAACCACTGCAGATATCGTCACCTAACTTTCATGGCCCCTCCGGGCATCAATGTTACACATCGTGGCCAAAAAACGTCCAGAGGCTGTGACAGGTTGGCCGCAAATGACGTCAGAATGGCATCATGTTCTGCCATTTTCGACCCCAAAAAGGTTCGCGGGAAGAGCTGTCAGCCCTACAGTTTTGAAGATACAGAAGAATGTTAAAAAAGCAAAAGGTGTAAAATTAACAGGGCTATCAACCTGCTATCATGGTTTTTAATTTAGGGACTTTGACCCCAAAAATCAAAAAATATTTTTTTGATGTAGGTAGGCCTAATAACAAAAAAAAAATCCCATAAGTTTTACGAATTTCGAAATAAACGGAATATATACATATGATAGTCTCCAACGTCTTCTAATTAGGTACATACCAAATTTGAGATCGATCCCTCGTTTTTTTGGCCAAGCTATGGCGAAAAAACTTCAAAATTGATGACGTAAAAAACTCAAAATTGATTTTTATCAATTCTAGACCACGTAGCGCAAAACAAAGACCACCATTAGACTCGCCGTGACAAGCTGCATCGAATCGATACCCATTTTATGCAAAAATATCAACTTTGAAATTTGACTTAATTTGACCTGATTGACCTGACCTCCACCAGAACATAACCTAAACTGGCCCGAAATGTTGCCTGGCCCACATTGTCGTATTTTTCATGTAAAATGGACCATAAAACATGTATCACACGACACTTTCGTATTGTGACCCTCAGTGACCTGAGCTCTGTGACCTGGCCTGGTATCAGTGACCTCAAACAGCGAAATATGTGTCTGACGGGCAACTTTCCATCGATTATTTTTCCATAACATGCCTTGTACTCAGGGGTGTAATTGTATATCTCTTTGTGGGGGCAGATGCACCCACAATCCAGAATTATGCCCCCACAATGATGAAAATGCACCCACAAGTCTCCTTTTACAAGCGCCCTTTCGAGAGCACGGCGCCCTTCGCATGCTCTAACGGCGTCCTCCTGACCGCCTCGCGGCGTTCCTCGATAATATAGCGTGTTTAATCACTCGGCGCCCTTCTGGGAGAATGGCGCCGTTTTGACAGTTTGCGCCATTCTCATGGTCTAACGGCGCCCTTCTGACCGTCTCGTGCCCTTATGTCTCTATCCACCGTGCATCTCTCGACTGTTCGGCGCCCTTCTGGCCTCTCAGCGCCCCTGGACGACATAGCGTTTTCAATCACTCGGCGCCCTTCAAGGAGAGCGGTGCCCTTGTCATGATCTCGCGGCGCCCTCGTAACCGTCTGGCGCCCCTACGTTTCCACCAATTTAGCATTCTGACTGTGCGGCGCCCTTCTGACCTCTCTGCGCCCCTGGATCATATATCATTTTTGATCACTTGGCGCCCTTCTGGGAGAATAGCGCCCTTGTCATGGTCTCACAGCGCCCTTGTAACCTTCTGGCGCCCCTACGTCCCCTAAGCGGCCTGGCGCCCCTACAGCTGGGCACCCACAATCATTTTGGGAAAATTACACCCCTGCTTGTACTCAATTTTACAACACACTTCTTGAAATGCCTGTAAACGGTGAAAATTCGACCTTTGACCTGACCTGTGACGGCATCGGTCGGACCGAGGTCAATGACATTGCGTCGCAAGGTAGATTCCCGGTAGGGTTTCCAAATTCCAACGCCGTTTGAATTTTGAAAATCGGCTGGTAGCTTTCCGAGATCTTAGGGGGAGCCGACCTCCCCCCCCCCCCCCCCACTACGTATGGTAGGGTCCGCCGATAGCCCGACGGGACGCGGGCTAATTAATGATAACTCTCACCTCCTTCACCAGTTTGTAGCCTAACGGCGGTGGAACGGTGACCAGACGCCTCATTCGCACTGGTTGCATACACCTGAAAGTTTTGAGAAACTGCGATAGACACGTTCCATACGGGCTGGTTGCATACATTTTGGAGACACTGCAATGGACACAAATGTACAATATCGTGCTGCGCTGGCCGCTAATACGACTGTCGAGACTCGAGATCGACTGTCACGTGACTATGTACATAATATGTACGACCAGTAAAACGCCTTTTGGGCGACCAACGGAGCGAGCGAGAGGATGGGCCTTGCACGTGCGAAATTGCGAGGGGGTACCTCCAACTAACTTGTGCACTGCACCCTACTAACCGGTCTTTAGCGATGTGCCAAATTTCAGCGCAATCGGCCTAGCCGTTCTCGAGATCTGGAAGCGGCACACTGCACGTGCGCACGTGCAAGCGGGGTCCAAACTGACTTTTGCACGGCACCCTACTAACTGGTCCCCAGCCGTGTACCAAACTTGAGCGCAATCGGCCCAGCCGTTCTCGAGATCTGGGAGCGCCCCCTGCACGTGCGCACGTGCTGTAGCACCCCAACCTTAACACATGCAGATGAATTATCTGATGGAGACCTAACTGTGTACCGAGTTTCAATTCAATCGGCCCAACCGTTGTGCCGTTATTGAGGTGGCAATTTTAAGGGTTCTTAAAAAAATGTCCAACTTTACCACGCGCCACGTGCGGTGGTTGGCAAGAACGCATGGTGGCCATCGCACCACAGAACTTTTACGTCCAAGTGACATTCAGTAAAGAAGACCGCTTGTCAATCGGATGTCCCGTTCCTAAGATATTAGCTTTTGAAGAGCGTCCCCACGGCCGGCCGGCCGGCCGGCCGCTCATACTCAGAATTTTCCCTTAATTCAGTAAAGAGCTTCAGAAACGAGGAGTGAGCATTCCGCATTAATATCCCGGGTCAGCTCTTCAATTATGAAGTTGTGTTACAATGTTGCATGTTTCGTGCTATTGAGCTACCAGCATAAGAAGCAATCACGTGGTCTAAAATGACACTCTAATGTGCCAAGCGTCACGTGAGACACTGTGTCGCGTGGTGAACGGGCAGATTTATCAGCTACCCCATGGACGTTCACTGCGCTGGCCCAGCTGCCCACTCACCGTCACTGAGTACTCTGTGTCCTCACGGAGATCGGTGATTTTGGCGCGGCAGCGGGGCCGGCTGAGGTCCTCAGAGGAGCACGCCTCGTCCGCCGAGACGGACATTTTGGTGAAATAATAACAGCCGTTCCAGCACACCGTGTAGCTGGCGATACGACTGAGAGGCGGCACCGGTGGGTCCCATCCGATGGTCAGGCTGGTCGGAGCCACCCCCACACCAGTGACATTGACGGGTATGCCAGGCTCTGAAACAACCCGAGGGCAACATGCTAATCAGCATGATCCAGCGGCACAATTTCATGTCAGAAACAAGTACACACATCATACAAAAACAAAATAGTTTTAGTATCATATGACCTTTCCTCGTAAAATATAAATTACCAGATATATTGATATTGATATTTCGATCACAGATCTTGAATCTTCGTCCGAATTGCTAACAAAAGACAGAATGAAAAGACATTCTTATTCTGTCTTTTGTTGGCAATTCCGACGAAGATCTGTGATCGTAATATCAATATCAATATCCTTTTTGGTAATTTATATTTTACGAGGAAAGGTCATATGATACTAAAACTGCTTTTACTAATGTTCCTCGCACAAGCGCTCAACAACATTAACCAAAAACAAAATAGTCAAGCGACAGAAAGGGGGAAATCCCTATTCAACATAACCATAAGGTTTTATCGCTTTAAAACATAACATGTGTTGATGTTGGTATACCTGACTCGAGGGTTTCAAAGGTGATTTCTTGCATAGTTTGATTGCAACCGACTGAGTTACAGGTGCCAACAATAAGTACGTAGTTGGAAAACGGCGTCAGGCCGTAAATGTAGGAGCCCGGTGTCGTGTAGTTTATCACTCTTGACCCTTGATTCCATTGGTCTACTCCTCGAATGGTGACGAGGAGTCTGAAAGCAATCGAAACACGCCGGTTATTTACATAAAATCATTTGTTGGATTGACGCCCAATGACAGGTGGAGTCGACATCAACGACGTCGTAATATGCATTGGATACGCTGTAGCTGCCGTAAATTTAGGTATGTATATGCATTGAACTCGCGCCGTTTCGGAGTGCCTTATTATTATTCCCATCGCTACCCATTTGGACGCGGTATTCTATGTAAAGACTTCAGATCCAAACCACTCTAGATTATATTGACAGGTTACCTCAAGTGTCACCAGTGGCGGATCCAGGGGGGGGGCAAAATGGGCATTTGCCCCCCCCCCCAACGGCATAATTTTAACATTACGCCTATGGACGAGGCATGGAAAGAATCGATAAATTGTTATGGTTTGCCCCCCCCCAAAAAAAACTCTGAGCTGGATCCGCCTCTGAGTGTCACGCTCGACGTTTCGTTCCAATGGTGCTAGAAAAACGTAGTTATACGCCGTCATCATACGGCGTAGATATTGATTTCAATTTCATGCCCGATTTTAATTAAGGTCTCAGGACTGCTTCGCTGTTGAAGTCAAAGACTCATCGACGATTTTTTAGTAACGCCACACATGATCGGGTTTGCGACGTTCTTACCTTGCTGCAGACCTTTCCCCGTGACGCCTAAAAAGGCGCGAAATATTTCAGACGTTTGTGGACTAGCGTGTTTTGCAGCAGAACTCCGTTTGCAGCAAGATTGCATGTCTGAGCACCCGCGGAAACGGCGTACCTATCTAATGGAATGACACATACCGGATGTTTCCTGCGTCGTCTCCCCATGTGGAGCAGCCCGGCCACGTCCAAGTAAGGTAGACAGATTCTCTTTGCTCGGTGACAGAAACCTGTGCAGTGACTCCGGGCACTAAAAAGAAGAGATAGTCATTCTTAGTGCTAAACATGTTATTGGTTTCGATGATTGGCTTGGATAGCAGCATGATCGTCGAGACGTACGCTTATCCAAATGATCACCAACAATCCTAATTCTGGCACAAAACTTCAGGAGACGAGTTTTTGACATCGCTGTCATGAACGGGTCCGGGATCTCGATTGACATTAAAGTTAATGCATCAAAATAGGCAGCTGCATCAGTCATTTTAATCACTCGCAAACGGTCTATACCTACCTACCTACCTACCTACTGTTCAATAGTGAGGACTGAGGACTTCAGTACAATAAGCATCATAACACATGCACGTATGACGTATTTACCTGTTCGTCCGGTTCTGATGGTGTCGTAGGCCCCGCCGCCTGATTTCACAGTGAACGCGAACACCGACACTGAATAGACAGAGTAGTTGTGCTTGAGCGGTACCTCCAAGCCAAGTTCCGTGGTGTTTATGTGTAGGACATCTGTTGAATCTCTTTGCGGAGTGCTCGTGCCACATGCTGTGAAGCGTAAATGCTGCAAAAAGATAATTTCGACTTCGTTACCAATGACAAGTTGTTTACTCTATGAACCTACGGTAGTGGCTAAGCCTATTCACGATGGTAACCACCCGTGTTGTAATTGTAATTACGACTTCTCTTGCATAATACGCCTGTGAACATTATGTTTAAACCTTCCAATCCTTTTTGTCAATCTTTCTCGGCCCAAAAGTAATCAGTTCTTGTTTTCATCGAGACCAACCCATCCGCATCTTCACTCACACCTACTATGGACGTCAAACCCCTTGAGACCCCACTTTTTTGCGATAATTTTTAAATGCGTCAACTCTCGTTGACAATATTCTGGCAATGTGTGTTTTAGAACCTGCCGAAACTTTTATTACTAAGGTATTTTGACGCCAAACGATTATCAAAGGTACGTACTTCTCGTTCACTCGTAATGTTAAATTTCACGGAACGAATCTGCTGTTTGGGTAGAGGCTACGCGCTCATGGGGCGGAGCCATGCAATGACGTCAGCGCTAAGCTCCGCCCTACCCCTCCGGCGCTCCTTGCCCGGCGACCGGTCACTCGCGTCTCTCGCTCCATTCAGGCTTGATGGTGGGCGGTAGCTGGTAGCGGTAGCGGGCGCTGGTAGATGGCATTTAGAGTAGATGGCGCTGGTGGCGGGGCTCGAGTGTGGCCGAGCGCAAGCCTCTGCCCGGGCCTGAATTGACCTTAGCATTACGAGTGAATGAGAAGTACCTTCCATAATCGTTTGGCATCAAAATACCTTAGTAATAAAAGTTTCGGCAGGTTCTGAAACATACATTGCCAGAATATTGTCAACGAAAGTTGACGCATTTAAAAATTATCGCAAAAAAGTGGGGTCTCAAGGGGTTTGACGTTCATAGTAGTCCTCGTCATGGCTGACGGTAACCAAACGGTAACCCCCATTCGGCATCCGTTGCTGAGAGCATTCTCCATGCCTAGACTAGATAACACTCTCTCCAGGGACGAGTTGACCGACTGTGCGGCAGGGCGGGCTATTCCTTTGGCACACTCCGTCCCACCACGACGGTCTCTGGCACTAACGCATCGTCGGTGGTCTGCACACTAAGTGCACAGTCCAATGCCTTTCCCTTATCTCATTGTCTCATAGCTTTGTAATTATCGTTTCAAACGGGAGGTGCTTACCTAAAACAAAACAAAATCTCCGAAATGGTTCCAAATAGATTAGAAGGACTAAACCCAGCAAAAAAAAAAACACACACACACATAAAACATGGACCTATGTTCATTGCTCATTCGAAGCACTGAGTACAAGCTTTGCCTTTGCAGTAGGTATGCAGCATGCAATGTGCATGCACTGCTGTCTATAAAGTTTACAGCTGCACATTACATCACTTACATCATAAGTAAGAAGCATCGTGGCTAGTGTTAGATATACATTTACCTGTATAAGAACTTGATAGGCACCAATGATTCCGTTGGGATTTGTTGGTTCATTCCACGCGATTGAAAATCTTCCGGGAAGTAGTTCAAAGTGCCGCAGCTGTGTTACCTGTGACGGAGCTGGAAAACGCAAGATTATGTTTTATGCCGAACAACATAAACTTGAAACACAAAGATGTTTAGAAACGATTCAATGGCAAATACCGGCTTTTAACCCGCGCGGGGCTGGGGGGGGTAAATTTTACCCCCCTCGCGAATTTTTGCGATATCTCAAAAACGGCGGCGCGCAGCGCCGCCAAACTTTCAGTACCTTTTCTTACATCAATTTGACACGTTCCCTGAAAATTTGAGCGAAATCCGTATGAAAATTTTTGAGAAATTGACGTTTTAGTGACGTCATGTTCGCCATTTTCGCCTCAAAAACGGCAAAAGTTCAAACGCCGCTAACATCTTCATTTTTAAAGGAATCAAGACGTAACAAAAAAGGTTATACGTAATTTTACTTTGTCTATCAAATGGCTATCTCGGTTTTTTGAAAATTTTGGATTTTGGCCTAAATTTTTTTTCAAAAAACTGAATTTTTTGGGAAAATCATTATAAAATCCAAAATTTTGAGTCTATCGAAAAAACCGGAATATATGTCAGAGAACCCAGTAAACATGCCGACGTCGGCCCGACGTCGGGCCGAGGCTCGGCCCGATGTCGGCCCAACGTCGGTTCAACCTCGGCCCGACATCGGCTGGACGTCGGATATGCCCGCATGTTCCGACGTCCAGCCGAAGTCCAGTCGACGTCGAGCCGATGTCGGGCCGAGGTCGTTTGCCGAGGTTGACGAGATCGTTCGTCGTTGGACCGACGGGGCCGACGCACAGTGGGCCAGGCGCTTCAAAAAAGCGGAATTAAATCAATGAGCACAGCTGCGGTGCCAAAAATGATTCGTTACAGGGTAAAATATCATGCTAAAGCCGAATCCGATATCCATTTTCAAATTTAATTGGTTACGCTAGGTCACTGACCTATGACGTCATTATTTAATTTCTGCGCTGCACATATGCCTGGGAAAGGCGGGCACTATGCCGCATTGGCCGCGCGTTTGCAGTCTTTTCGTGGTTTCAAGCGTTCAAACATGTGATATGATGTTGGTCCCATGCATTAGGGTGGGTGTAAAGGTCACCTGAAGGTCAGGTCAGGTCATTGACCTTTGATGACCTCGGTTCACTTTTTCGAGTTTTACATGTTTCTGGGCTAGTTTTTGAAGCTGAATTCGAATTTAGGAACCATTTGAACATTTACGAAGTAGTTTTGGTGCCTTCGTAACATGTTACGAAGCTGTCAGAGGCGGGTTGATACCTACTACGAATACCCGGCAGGACCCATACTGGTTGACCTGACCTGAGCTGACCCGACCTGGCCTAAATGCATGAAGACATCATCCGTGATCAAAACTAACATGATATTCGTGATCAGCATCCCGAAAAACCCCTTAGCAGCCACACTATACGACGTTCTAACAGGTCCCGACTTTCGGCCATTGACCTGACCTCAGAGGTCACCATTTGACCTATGACCTTAAAACCGGGTACCGTTGGCTTCGTCTCGTGACGACCTACACGATGTTTTTTTCCGCGAGGCTCTAGCTCAATTAGGGGCCAAACGCGAGGAGGGTCGCGTCCCCCTGTGCCGTCGAGGGATGCAAAATGGCCTATGCCGGCGAGGGTCAAACCCTTATTTGTCCATTTCGCGCAAAAATGCGCAAAATATTTGCATTGGGCAGCAAGCTATACACCTTGAGGAAAGTCAGGCAGCAAATATCTTCGTGTTGTTCGGTGACGTTTTCTTTATATCTTTATATAAATTCATTGCGTCGTTGCACTACCACGGTTCCGAACAGGCACTGTAAACCCCACCGCTACTAGAAAGTATGAAATAGTTCCCGGGAACTTGAGTACGAGAAACATGCGCAGAAATACCGGCTGTTTTTTTAAAGCTATTTTGTACGGAATAACTTTAATGATTTTACGCTGAGAGCTTTTGAATCGGGGGAACGGAAAATGGTACACAGCAGTCATTTCCATCTCCAGTCGGTAAGTCCTACTTTGCGACGTTATAGCATTATCTGCCTTGACATTGGGAAAGGAAAGTTGCTTATTCGGAAACTTTGGACATTTTTACAATACTCTATCCCATAATTACAGGAATTTCACCGAAGTTGATTTTCGACTTAATTCCGCTTTTTTGATGCGCCTGGCCCACTGTGCGACGTCGGCATGTTTATTGGGACAACGCGCCAAAAATATCAACCGGCGGCGGGATTCGAGCCCCCCAGTCGCCGACGTCGGCATGTTTACGCCAAAAGCATCGGCCGGCGATGGGATTCGAACCCCGTGTCACTTGAACGGGAGGTTAGTGCGCTGACCACTACACCACGCAGCCAGATATCAGATTTAGTTTGTTTTGATGGGTTATGCCCTTTCGGTGTGACAAGACCATTTCAGAGCCGGAAGGATGATAGGATGGAGACATTGGTCTTCTTGGTGAGCACCCTGGGTCCAGTTCATATAGAGTCCCTGGTCCCATTGCTGTTACGTGACACTTATTGGAAAGGGCGACCCCACAATGGATTCATATAGTTACTCTTACACACCTGCACCAACGTTTCCCAATGTGTCCCTTTGATAAGTGGCACTTTAGCAAAGTGACACTTGCCGACTGGCCTTTCTATATGAACTGGGCCCGGCCCTGGTGAGTTGCCGGGGCTGAGTCTGACCAAAGGATAGGCCGAGCAGCCCCCAAGCACTCACCGCACCCGGCTACGGGCGAGCTCGGCTTACAGGCAATCCCAAATGAGATAAAGTTTCCCGTCCAGTCCGGATCAGGGGGTTGCGGCGTGGAGGAAGATTTGAGTTTCCTGAGGATATTTGGAATACAGAAGCTCTTTATGAAACATGAAACATGTATTTTATATTATTTTAACGGTCAAAACAGCGGCCGATGTCGGTCCGACGTCGCCCCGACGTCGGCCCGACGTCGGCTGGACCTCAGCAATTGATCTCGGTCCGACGTCGGCCAGACGTCGGCTGGACCTCGGCTGGACGTCGGAACATGCGGGCATATCCGACATCCAGCCGACGTCGTGCCGAGGTTGGACCGACGTCGGGCCGACGTCGACATGCCGATGCCGAGTTGCCGACGTCACCCCGACGCCGGCCGACGTCGGGCCGACGTCGGCATGTTTACTGGGAAGTGGTCTATGTGCACCTACATACCAAATTTTAGAAGAATCGGTTAAAAAATGTGAGAGTTATTCAAAATTTTATGACGTCACGACACACAAAATTTTTCAAAAATGACTTTTTTGGAAGTTCTAGACCTCGTACGGAAACAAAAATAGCACCATTCGATTCGCCGTGAAAAACTGCATCAGATAGACACCTTTTTAGGCCTTAACAACCAACTTCAAAATTTGACCTCACTTGACCTGACCTTGACCTGACCTCGACCTGAAATTCATCCAGAGGTGGTCCATATCACTTATTGAGTGTGCCTATTGAATTCTATGAGTAAAATGACCCATAAAACATGTGTCGCACATGCCCTTTTCTATATTTTGTTTTTTGGTGACCTGACCTGACCTGACCTGACCTTGACCTTGACCTCTGAATGATATTGTATGCAACGAATATTGTCTTGGTAGCCTAAGAACACGTTTTGGGCGATCAGTCTCAGTCCATGACTCCATTCTTCGGCAACTACGGTGCAAGGCCGATACTGTAGAAACTTGCAATTTGTACCCTTGACCTGACCTTGACCTTGACCTCAAACTTTAAATTAAGTACATGTTTTTAGTAGTTCGTGATGAGAGCTTTCGATTGGCGTTTGAATTTTCCAAATCGGACCATTAGTTTGGGAGATAACAGGGGGGTAAAATTTACCCCCCCCCCCCCCCAGCCCCGCGCGTTCGGCTGGAGACCCCAGCCCCGCGCGGGTTAAGTTATTGTTTATAATGATATCGTCCAGAAAATTATTACGGCTGCCAGTGGCGGCGGAAAACCTTCAATTAAGGAGGGGGGCACTGCCGAATTTTGGTCCCATTCTTTCCATGCAACGCCCATAGGGCTAATGTTAAAATGCCAAAAGCAAAGGGGGCACGGTGCCCCGGTGTCACCCCCGTTCCGCCGCCTATGACGGCTGCATAGAAGGAACGGAACTCGTGACCACTTACTTACCTTAAAAAAGTTTAAAATAATTACATTTTGATATGCCTCTTCCCAGCGAATTTGAAAAGATCTCTCATGTATATTGGCTGCAAATCGAACGACAATTATCGTTATGTCTCACCTCCTTGCAAAGTTCGAAAGACCTCGCTGTGTGGCGGCGACGACCCCTTTCGGCTGACGGCAAACACTGTCAGCGTGTACTCCGTGAACGGCGTCAGACCGGTGAACTGAACTCTTAGAGAGCGAGCGGAATCGATGAGACGTGATAGCCCGGCACCCTCAGCTGTCTGGGCACTCAGAGTGGCGTTCAACTTGTATGCACACGCTGTTTGCTTGTTTGAGATGTCCTGTGATAGGAAAAGGATAGATTGATTTTAACTCGATGCTTTTTTACAACCAAATGATGGTCTATTATTATTGGGAAACAGCAATGGTCATTTGATCACATTCTCATCTGTCAAGGCAGCAGACGTGTATTATATGTTATACCTAACGTAGGTACAGTTTACTGTGATGTTTATTCACAATGTAGCTACTCGACTTCAAAATCGCTGGATTTAGGCAGCAAACAGTATAAATGTATGTCCAACCGAGATCAATCCTTTGTTTGATCTTTGAACGTGTGGTCACGAATTGAAGTCGTCATTCGCTATCCGGTTCCAAAGCCTAAGTCATTAACTGGAGCAAGTATTCCTTGCTTCCACAATACATACCTCGAGCGTGAATGTGGCCGATGTGTCTGTGAGCTCGTTGGTCAATATGCCACCGACGCTGTTGGGAGCTGAGAAACCAGCGAGGAAAGTTATGTTAGAGTGATTTGTACCATAGCGTTTTATAAAACTCTACCGCTATCAGCAACGGAAATACGCGTATGTGATTAGCTCCCGACTGTAAGCTTGTACATAATCCGTAGAAAACGAAATTTAGCCTCAACCATCTACCAATGAAGATGTCAGTCGCGGCAAACGTAAAAATATCGGAGAACAAGGACTTGTAATGTTCAGATAGGGCTTTCTTACCTTCACAATCGGTGAGCGCTTCTTCATACGGTATAAGCTCATCGCTGTCCTGTTGGGCGTTCAATGGCATTTCTCTTATGACGATTCTCACCAAATAGCTGGTGTCAGGCTTCAAGTTACCGAATTTCAGTTGAAATTCATCCCCTGAAATACCATGTTGCACGTTTCACTGGCATGACTATGGTCAGAGAATCAAATGGGTTATGCTTAGCAATGTGTTTTGATATACATAAGCACACATTATTCGTTTTAACTGTACATATTACATCACGGTCGCTAAAGCTTAAGTATGGCCCATATACAGGACACTAACCAACAGAGAGCATGGGAGGAGTCGAGACCGAGTCGCGCCAAAATGTCAACGATGGTCACGGTTACCCAGATCCCCGAGCACGTGCTAACGAAAGGGTTGTCCGTGTCTGACCGGCGAGGCTGTCGTCTCGGACTCCGGCACCGGCGGGGTCGGAGCTCCACGGCCTCCCTCCGACCGCCTCCCGTATCTGGCCGATGTACGTCAGCATCGTGCCGTTGCCGTAGCCGTTGTCGTACCGACGCGTCCAGCGACGGTGTCGGATCGTGATGCTCGTGAAGCCGGCCGTGAGAATTTCCGGCGGATCGCGAAACCAGGGCCACTCTGCGCAAGTAACGATATTAGACTGTTCTGAACGACAATGACAATCCAAAAAACAATGTAAAATTAGACTGTTTCAGATGGCCAGCTAATCACAATCTTGACGACAGAAGTTTGATAATGCATTGGAGGTTTACACTGCGCACTAACTAGCTCCGAAGACTGGCGGGTTAGACACTTACAAAGAAATTCACACAAGGAGAGCTCCCTCATGACTACTTATGGTGTAACATGCGCCTTAGCTGTCAACGATACTGGATATTTGACCGATTTCCCTGCGTCCTGCATTCACTTATAGAAAAACTGACTCACGTAACTCCTGGCACAGGGGTGGTGAGACGTCATTTCGGTTACATCCTTGATCGCAGCGTCCTGTGAATTTATCGCAGCTACTAAATCTGCAGTGGCCACACTGAAACGCGCAGTCCGGCCCGTATGATCCCTGAGGACAGCCTGAAACGATGGCCATGTGTTACTTGACGTTTTGAGGCATTGTTTGTCCACTGCCTATAGTGCCTACCCAATTACATACTATGCAGGTGATGCTAGGTTGGTTTACGAATTATCAAGGAAAAAACGGTGGGTGTATGAAATTAAATATGAATAGTAAATATTTAACCCGCGCACCGACGGGGGTCTGCGCCAACTTCGCACCGACGGGGGGGCGGATGACCGCCCCCCCCCCCCTGAGATCTCGAGAACGAAGCAAGATAGCGACAAGCGGTAAACGGCATCGGATACGCACGGTCAAGATCTACAACTTTTACTCAGGTCATTTTCAGGTCAGGTCAAAGATGACGTCACAGGGGTCGAAAAAGTCAAAATGGCGGCGCTAGATATGGAGAGAGTTTTTTCTCGAATAACTTTCGAATTAGTCAAGATAGGAACAAACTAAGGGCATCATCGTGATCCTCTCGTCAATCCGCATCGAATGATATATATGTTGACCTCGAAAGGTCAAGGTCAAAGGTTGACCTCAGGTCACGTGACCTCGAAGTCATCATGTATACATTCGATGCGTCTTGACGAGCTGAACACAATGAGACCATCCACGCGTCTGTATCTTGTTCCTGTACGGAGTTATTGGCCAAAAACCTTTGGTGACCTTTGATGTCGTCACATGACCTCACAGCTGCCCAACAGCAAAATAGACCTCAAGGTAGTGAAGGTTGATCGTATATGAAGTCATATATGGTCTATGGGGCCATTCCGACCCGTTTTAGTGGTAAAAACAGGGAGTTGATTTTTCCCCCATTGACTTATAATGGGGAGGTCGCGAAATTGACCTGACCTTTGGTCACCGATATCAAAATTCCGAGATATACAAATTGTAGCTACTAATGACCTCATAATATCCTGCGACTTTCAAAGGCCTCCGACATCTACTGTAGCTCTGGCACGGTGACAAAGTTGCAAAAAAGTGACTTGAGGTTGGGCCATTCAAAGTGACCTGGTGACCTGACCTTAAAAGGTAGGAGGTTCAAACTTGCACACCATGTGTGAAATTGATGAAGGTATAGTCATACCAAATTTCGCGGCGCTACGCGCCGCGGTTTTCCCGCTATTCGCGAAAAAACCTCAGGGGGGGGCGGATATCCGCCCCCCGTCGGTGCGCGGGTTAAGCATAAACATGCATCAAATAAACATAAAGCTGAGTAGGTATACGTATAGTCGACTACAGAATGATGTTCCACTCCTCAGAAGCTATCAGTTGACCGGAGCGCTAAGTTGTGCCGTTTATCACGCTTTGTCGATTGTGAGCATTGGGACAAAGCTATAATTTGTAAACTCAGCCCGTGTGATGCGGCACAGCCTACCACTCCCGGCAAATGATTGCCTGTGAAAAGTGGAACATTATTATGTAGTCGACTATACGGCCCTCCAGGCCTCCAGTGGTTGGTTGCCAACATCACAATAAGCGATCTGCATTGATGAATACGTCTAGGCTGTTGAAAACCATTGTCGAAGTGTGTGCTCTGTGCACGAACCCTCTTCTCATTTCTATTGAGTCATTTTACAGGAGTGTCTCTGTCATTCAAAGCTATTACACCAAAAGCACTATAGGCTTACCAACCACTCTTTTGCTGGAGGGCCGTACATAAGTAGTAGTAGCAGACTAAGCTGGTGGGCCGCAAGAATGCAGATAATTGAATTGTGCCGGCGCGATTAGGTGTTTACCCAAACCTCATAGTGTTTTGGTGAACCTACCGCGAGAACAGTCATTTCCTCTCCAGCCTGGTCCACAGGAGCAGCCATAGGGGTCGGGCGCGCAGAGGAGACGACCCCGGCAATCGTCCCGTGGACACCTCCAGGAGCAGGTCATGCCGAGCAGAGACTCGCCGCATCCTGTAGATCAAATGTTGGAGGTATTCAAGTACCAGGCTAGAGAAACCCACAGTTTTATACGAGTGTGTGTTGCTTAGACAAGTATGTATGAAGAATAGGTAGTTAAAAGACTACATGCCTATATCAATAGCATACCTTAACCCTCGCCCGTATTGGTGTTTTTCCAGCCGCGAACGTATAAGGGGGGGTCCGTTGGACCCCCCCCCTTGCCGTTTCGCCCCTGATCGAGCTAGAGCTTCGCGGAAAAAACGAGCGTGTTGCCCGTGACGAGAGGAAGCCGATGATACCTAATTTTAAGGTCCTAGGTCATTGATTGACCTTGCAGGTCAGGTCAATGACCCAAAACTCGGGAAAATCGGGACCTATTACAACGTCGTAAAGTGTGTCTGCTATGGGGTTTTTCGGGGCGCTGATCACGAATATCATGTTAGTTTTGATCACAGATGATGTCTTTATGCATTTAGTCCAGGTCGGGTCAGGTCAGGTCAGGTCAACCAGTAGGGGTCCTGCCGGGTATTCCTAGTAGGTGTCAACTGCCTCTGACAGCTTCGTAACATGTTACGAAGGCACCAAAACTACTTCGTAAATGTTCATATGGTTGCTAAATTCGAATTCAGCTCCAAAAACTGGCCTAGAAACATGTCAAACTCGAAAAAGTGAACCGAGGTCACCAAAGGTCAATGACCTGACCTGACCTTCAGGTGACCTTGATACCCACCCTAATGCATGGGGGCAACATCATATCACATGTTTGAACGCTTGAAACCACGAAAAGACTGCAAACGCGCGGCTAATGCGAGCCGACATACGCCGAATCGCGATTCCGGCCAAACATGGTCTCGAAAAGTAGGTCACAGGTCAAAGGTCATTGGGGTCAGGGTCATGAATTTTTCAGGGTAGGTGTAAAATTGATCAACGCGAGGGTACTGAAAGTTTCGTCGCGATCGGCCGCTTTTTACGCGAGTTATTCGCGAAAAACCATGGGGGGGGTCCGTTCGACCCCCCCCCCCTATACGGGCGAGGGTTAATTCATTAATCCACCAGTAAAACGCCTTTTGGAGCGACAAACAGAGCGAGCGAGAGGGTGGGTCTTGCACGTGCGAAATTGCGAGGGGTCAGGGGGTACCTCCAACTGACTTGTGCACTGCACCCTAGTAACCGGTCCCTAGCGACGTGCCAAATTTGAGCGCAACCGGCCTAGCCGATCTCGAGATCTGGAAGCGGCACCCTGCACGTGCGCACGTGTAAAATGGGTCCCAACTGACTTTTGCACGGCACCCTACTAACCGGTCCCTAACCATGTACCAAATTTCAGCGCAATCAGTTCAGCTCGTCTCGAGATCTGGAATCGACCCCTGCACGTGCGCACGTGGAGCAGCACCCCAACTGTGGCAAATGGATATGCATTGCCTTGTGGGTTCCTACCCAGCCAGCCTTCCCAAATGGGGCCCATATTGGCCCCAAGTGGGCAGCAAACTGGGGCCCATCTGGGCTGCCCACTTGGGGCCCAGATGGGTTTGTCATGGGCGTCCAACTGGGTCCCATATGGGCAGCCAAGATGGGCCCCATATGGGGCCCAGCCGGGGCACATATGGGTCCCACATGGGCTTTCCCAGCCGGGACCCACATGGGTATAAGCGAAAAAATCCCACATGGGGCCCATGTTGGTTCGAAATGGGACCCATATGGGACCCGGCCGGGGCACATATGAGTCCCACATGGGCTTTACCAGCCGGGACCCACATGGGTATAAGCGAAAAATCCCACATGGGGCCCATGTGGGTTCGAAATGGGACCCATATGGGGCCCAGCCGGGACCCACATGGGCATAAGCAAAGAAATCCGCATGAGGTCCAGGTGGGTTCCAAATGGGACCCATATGGGGCCCACCGTGTCCCCTCCCAATTAGGCCCCACATGGGACCACCCTGAAACTCCCCGAAAACGGCCTGCCTTGTGTCCTGCACCTGGGTTTCGTCATATCAACCGCTGCTGCCGTTTTCGTCCTCGATGGGCGCGGTCGCCCCCGAAGCCGGACAACCGCGCTTCTCTGGCTGGTGTTGCCAGGAGAAAAACTGTTTATACAGAATTATTGTATTTCGCCACGAAATCGAGACATATATAATATAACACATGAACACAGTTGTTTCCGATCGGGCATTTGTTAGGCGAGAACATAAAATGAAGAAAACGAATACATATGCTTTTAGGTTTAACCCGCGCCCCGTAGGGCTATCGGCGGACCCTACCACCCGTAGGGGGGGGCCGTTTCGGCCCCCCCCCCCCTAAGATCTCGGAAATTTACCGGCTGATTTTCAAAATTCAAACGGCGTTCGATATCCCCACCGGGAAACTACCTTGTGACCAAATTTCATTGACCTAGGTCAAACCGATGACGTCACAGGTCAGGTCAAAGGTCGGATTTTCACCGTTCACAGGCATTTCAAGAAATGTGTTGTGAAATCGAGTAAATTGGTAAGTTATTGAAAACCATCGATGGTACATTGTTCGTCAAACACATACTTCGCTATCTGAGGTCACTGATACCAGGTCAGGTCACAGAGGTCAGGTCACTGGGGGTCACTTGGGGGTCACAATATGAAAGTGTCGTGTGATACATGTTTTATGGTCCATTTTACATGACAAATGCGATTATGTGGGTCAGGAAGCCTTTGGGGCCAGCTTAGGTCACGTTTTGGTGGAAGGTCAGGTCAAGGTCAGGTCGAATAAGGTCAAATTTCAAAGTTGATATTTTTGCATAAAATGGGTATCGAATCGATGCAGCTCGTCACGGGGAGTCTAATGGTGGTCTTTGTTTTGCTCCATGTGGTCTAGAATTGCCAAAAATTGAGTTTGAAAATTTGACGTCATCATTTTTGAACAGTTTTTTCGCTATAACTTGGCCAAAAAACAAGATATTGATCTAAAATTCGGTATGTAGATAGAAGACGGTAGGTACTAACACATATATTCCAGTTTTTTTCGAAACTCAAAAACTTTTTGGATTTTTTGGCAAATATATCCAAAAAATTGCTTTTTTGATTTTTGGGGGTCAAAACTCAAAAATTTCAAAAATCCGAGATAGCAGTTTTGTAGCCCGGTTAATTCTACACCTTTAATGTCTGATCATTTTTCTGTATCTTCAAAGCTGTAGGCCTGACAGCTCTTCTCGCGAAGGTCTTTTTTCGGTCGAAAATGGCAAAACATGACGTCATTCTGACGTCATTTGTGGCCAACCTATCATAGCCTCTGGAAAAAAAATTGGCACAATGTGTGAAATTGATGCCAGGAGGGGTCCTGAAAGTTTGGTGGCGATATCTCTAGTTGTTTAGGAGATATCGACGGAAAAGGACAGGGGGGCCGTTTCGGCCTCCCTACTGGGCGCGGTTAAAACATAGCTAACACAAGGGCTCAACCCATACAAAACTGATTAAGTGAACGCTAAAGGGGACGCGAAACTAAACCAAAACTGTCTTGTGATTTAGAAACAAGTGGAAAGCGACACCTGTTAAGAAAGTTATAAGTAGCGGTTCACAGCATCTAGCGGTGACCGACAGAAGTAAACGCATGAGCCTAGCGGTGACCGGCAGAAGTACATGGGCTACACTTTCGACCGCCGTCCCTTCAAACAAAATGCTTTTGTCTATAGTTTTATATGTGACGCCTGGAAATATATTCAGAATTAAATAGAGATTTGTTATAGAGTTAAATTAAACATTAAATAAATATTAAAAATAATTTAAGTTAAATAGAGATTAAAGAGAGTTTGGCAGATTTAGCACTGAGAAGGCGCCCATGTGGGCCACATGTGGCCCCGGATGGGTGTGCCCAGCTTGTTGGTGCCCAGTTTACCCACATGCTGCCCGCATCCAGCCCATATAGGTGTCGGGTCAGTTAACAAAGTTTTGTAGTAAAGGGAATGTTCATATCCCAGCAAACATGCCCACATGGTTCCCATATGGGGCCACATGGGCCCCCACCTCTTCCATATAGGCCCCACATGGGAATGGCAGTGGGTGACACATGGGACCCATATGGGCCAGCCTACATTGACCCCACATGGCATCATGTATGAACTTGATATACTTGGACTTGGAGTCCAAAATTCACATGAACAACAGCCACCTTTTTTGCTTTTATGCTCTTGGAGTAACTTAAATGGGGCCCACATGGGTGATCCATATGGGACCCACATGGGATGCCCATCTCCAGCCCACATGCGTTTGGCCCACCTGGCCCATTTTTATCCCATATGGGGCCCATATGGGCCCCATATGGGCCCCCATGGGGCCCATCTGTAGCCCATGTCCCACGTGGTCCCATCTCAGTTCAATGACTCAGTTCAATGTATTTCGAATCATTCCATTGCATGGTTTAGTATTTGATTCGATCACACACACAAAAGACATGGTACACCTAGCCCGTCCCCCCCCCCCCACACACACACACGTACACGCACACATGCACAAACACTGCCGCAGTAGACTGATGAGTGCAGAGCAGCCAGCGCGTCACAATTTTCACGGATATGACAGAAGGCAAAAGCGCTAGGCAGCAAGGTGGCGAAGAAACTCAGCGTGTGTTCCAGAGCTAGTGGTGGTGGGTGGGAGGTGGTTCCAGAAGGTTGCCGCTCGGTAGGAAAAAGCTCGTCTCGACATTGATAAGCGATAATTTGGTAACTCTAATGCACCCGACAGCGTGGAACGTGTGGCGCGCGCAGACACAGCCGCCCGTGTTGTGAACAAAGTGCGTAATGCCGCGGGAGCGAGCGGGTCCTTCAGCGCTCTGAAAACACGAATGTTGTCGCGATAGGTGACTAAATCCGTGATTTTGGGCCAGCCCAGTGCAGACAACACGGGGGAAATGTGATCACGGTGTTTCGCCCCAGATACGATTCTAGCTGCGAAATTAATGACTTTCTGCACCCGCTTGAGGTGACAACCTACAGCCCCGCCCCAGACTGAGAGGCAGTAAATGATGTGGGGGAAGACATGACATTGA